TTTCTACTTCAGTCACTTTCTTCCAGCATTGTACGCTGAGTATGGCCGTGATGAGTGACTACCGTAAAGTCTTGTATAAAAGCCGCACTTGAATAGAAGCCGCCCTCGAATAGAAGCCGCAATTTTGGGCCCATCAAATCACACATAAGCCTGGTTTTCGTGGTGACATACATAGAAATACCTGTCTTGTATAGAAGCCTGTCTCATATAGAAGCCTGAAAATTTTCACCAAGAAAGTCATAGAAGCCGCGGCTTTTATACAAGACTTTACAGTAGTTGAAATCACCTTACTCGGTTTCTGTGTACATTTGTGGCTCTTGCAGTTGTTTCCAGTTCACTATATGATTTACTTTGTGCTGTCCAAGTACATGTAACGTCTTACACTTTGAATAGTGTATGTATGCTCACATGATCCACTAAACTACCTGGTGTGAAGCTTTCGCTATGTTATTCTGCGGTGCAGTATTGTTGCAGATGAGAGGCAAGACAGCTCGTTGCCATAACTGAAATGAACGATGCAGAGTGTTGGAGTGTTGGCATAGGCATCACTGCCTTTAATTGCTTCATTGTGTCATGCTGGTTCCCAAGCACGTCACGGGTGCGCTTCTGCAGAAATACCGATTGACAGCACAGTACAAGGCGGAGGGCGCAGTGGGCCCTCAGCCTTGCACTATGCTGTCAATCGGTATTTTCATGGTTAGTCAATCAAGGCTTATGTCTAATTTCTGCAGAAATGTACATCTGAAACATACTCAAACAAGTGGCATGTGTAATATGCCCAATCTCACGCACAACCTTCCATAATAGTAAATGGTCTGTGTTAACTCATATGCACATGGCAGTTAACGGGAGACAAGAGTATTCGTACTTGTTTCTTCTTTCTGAGACAGAAAACAAAAGCAGATCGGGAGGCGAATCACCGAGGCAATAATTATATCCATCAGTGGGAACATTCATCCCCAAACACAAAAACGAGGCTCTCCACAGAGCCCAGGACTCATTCACCTAAATTACAAAATACTGTAAGAAACGAGGCTCTCCAAGGGGACTCACCCACCGCAAACTTGTAACAAAAAAACGAGGCTCGCCAGGGGGACTCACCCACCTCAACTAAAAAAATATATATTATATCGTATTTTCCCAACCGTATTTTCCCGAATATAAGTCGACCACCCCAAATCCAGGAGTCAATTTCATGAAAAAAAGTTTTTATAGCTTCATGACACCCACACATACACAATGATGAATTCTCTGCGAGGAGAGATCATTATCATGCCAGTAAGACAAAATCTGGACAAAACCAGTGTCATCCAATGTTCATTCAATGTTAACTGCCACTGTGCTGCCAACTGCCACATCGAATTCTCCAGTCACTTCATTTATTGTGCCAGATTCCCGTATGTAAGTCGAGTTCCTTTTTTAAGTCGACCCCCAGCTTTTGGCGAATTTCTGGCCCACAGAAGGTCGACTTATATTCGGGAAAATACGGTACACCGAATGCTGAAAACGACCATACTCTAAGTCATGCTACTAGTGCGGGCTGAAAGTTGCAAAGAGCTGCAGCAACAAAAACAAGCTGGTGAGCAAGACCGGAGAGAGAGTTTGGCGAGGTATGCCGCAACAGCTGGTACTCCTTCTGACGCTTTATTGCCCTCTCCACATGAATCCGTACGGCAGCAATCTTCTTCGTCTTGAACACGTCATGCGGCAGCATTTGAGTGTCGCCCCGCCGTTTGGGTGGAATGTTGACCTTCACACCAGCGCCCACACACAAGTCCTATATCGAAACCTTTGTCAGCCATGATACTGTCTCCTGGCTCTAACAAACCCAGCAAACCAGACGCAGCGGTGAGCCCCCGATCAGAGATAGAACCTTCATACAGGTCAGACACAAACGTGAAGGATCCGGACTGATGCCAACCAGTGACTTAAAGGGGAAGTTAACCCTTTATGTACTGAAAAAATTGTACACAGACTGAATTTGATCTCGACTCACCTCAAATTCTATAATTATCTGGGTCATAACTTTAGTCTCCTTTTGACGATTTTTTCAATCTTGGGCTTCCTGGAAAGCTCGTCGCAAGAGGAACACATTGCGCCCACGCTTGCCACCATGAAGGTCAAAACGCCAGCGCTACAGCCCAGCGTCTTAGCTGCAACGCCAATATTCCGACAGAAGTCGTCTTGCATCAGCCATTTCGCTCTCCTTGCTCGTAACAACTAACTTTTACTTCAAAAAAATTCACAAACTGCCATGAGTCCGTTTTCCATTTTGATAATGTTTCTACGTCACTGCATGCCCAGAATGATGGGGAAATCCCTCATTCAAATTTGCGCGAGCGGCTATTGAGCGACATTTGCCGCGATTCGACTTTCGAGCTTCGTAACTCTGGAACTACACATCGAAGCGCTTCAGCAATTGTTTCAATGGACAGCTGGGAGTTTTCTCTTTGACCTACATATTTTAGTTTTCGGATATAACCCAGGAACGACTGAGTTACGATCGATTGAAATTTTGAAAAGTTTCGATCCCAGGGGATCGAAAGTTGTACAGTCCGTACACAAAGGGTTAAGGCAAAAATTAAAATTTCACCAGTTGTAGTCTTCGGGATGCTGAGTCGAATGGTCTTGGTCCGAGAAAGCTGAGACGCTCCCTTCCTACTTGAATCCCAATCGAACTCGCGCACTTCCACCGAAACTGGGCGACTGCGCCCTACTAGATGGGGATTTGTATGCAAAATGTCACTAAAAGCGCCATTGCGTTCTTATAAAAGCACGGATGACCGTGATTGGCCCATATGTTGTAGTCTTTTGGACGCTGAGTCGACTGGTTTTGGTCCGAAAAGGCTGCGATGCAGCGTTTGTCCTTTATTCCCAATCGAACATGGTTGAAGAAGCGGTCACGTGCTCCTGGGTGCCCAAATCACCTGGTCACCACGCCAGCAGGCGACAACTTTCACACCAAGGTTCAACTCGAGTTCAACTCGAGTGACAGGACTGCACCCAAAAAAGGTCAAACAGGCTAGTAAGTTGTACCCTGCAGGCACGGTGACCAGGTGACTGGTGTACGCAGGAGCACGTGACCACTTGTTCGACCATGTTCGATTGGGAATAAAGGAGGAACGCTGCATCGCAGCCTTTTCGGACCAAAACCAGTCGACTCAGCGTCCAAAAGACTACAACATATGGGCCAATCGCGGTCATCCGTGCTTTTATAAGAACGCAATGGCGCTTTTAGTGACATTTTGCATACAAATCCCCATCTCGTAGGGCGCAGTCACCCAGTTTCGGTGGAAGTGCGCGAGTTCGATTGGGATTCAAGTAGGAAGGGAGCGTCTCAGCTTCCTCGGACCAAGACCATTCGACTCAGCACCCCGAAGACTACAACTGGTGAAATTTTAATTTTTGCCTTAACTTCCCCTTTAAATGTATTGTGGTTCTTGTATGACGACCATGATGCACTCTGCCGAGCTAGTGATGACGGTTTTTCGATGAAAAACTCCGTGCCATCAATGATGACCCTTGTAGACGGATACCACTTTTGGAACGATGGTGGCATTGTCTCACCAACCTTGCGTCTGCTTGGCCACATTGGTAAATATTTGAACTTGAAATACATCAAGTTGATCCATGTTGTAAACGTGCGCGATACAACAGACTGGCTGACGCCGAAGCCGCAAGATGCTCTGTTGGCAGCCCGAGCCTTAGCCGCATCATCACCATGAAAAACTGGTCCTGGAGAGATAGTTTGGATGGCTTGCCACACTTGAGCCCAAACTCAGTGCTTGCCTGCGAGGACACCGAACCACCACGCCACTGTGGCATGGCTGCTGCACAAGCGGAAAGGTAAGTAAACACTGCAGTGAACATAGTGTACGACGTGAACCCAGTGTAGTACTTAATCTTGCCACCACGGTCTGTAAATTTCAGGAGAGAAAACGTGCTTGTCGGTGGATTCTGAGCTGCCTTCAGCTTGACGATTTCTTCTTTTAGCTCCACAACACACTCGCAACATGTATGCTTGTCACCACTGGAACAGATATCGGTGCAGCCAACCCCAACGTGTTCACTGGCGGAATCCTCCACAACCACTGGCTCCACGGTACTGCCTGTCTCCTTTGTCTTCGTCTTCTTGGCAGGAGGTAGAGCGACACGAACTGCTGGCTCCTTTCGCTTCTTCCCCTTCTTCTGCAAGTGGATAGGAAAACAATCGAAAATCAATGGCACCGCTCCTGGCACAAGGATTTTGTTTTGACGGTTAGGTTTCTTTTTGCGCACCTTCTTGGGACTGGTAGAAGTTTCCTCAGGCTTGAAGTGTGCACCACAGACCCTTGCCGACGAATTGACCTGGTAGTCGCCACCTTCATCATGGCGAATGGCAGCCAGCCATTACGAACGAAGAGACTGGTCCCCAGGGAATTGGAAATAACCAATTTGGGGCACCGTTCCACTGTTGTCGGAGCATCCCGGAACGGTACAGTGATGAGGCATGGCTAAAGGTAGCCAACATCAGCCAAAGACAAACACTAAAGGCTGCTAAAGGCACTCCTGCATGGGATCAAACGTTCGCCAACATTGAAATCAAAGAAATGAAAATAGCTCCAAGCACTTTTTTCGAAAAGGAACACCCTTCCCAAACCGATGATGCGTACTCAGGGTGACGTCAGCATTACATATGGCAATCGCCAATCGGTCTATTCACAGTGACTTTTTTGGGGTTTTTTATGTCCTCATAAATCATTCGATGTGCTTGGCACATCCTGTAGCAGTGGTGGTGCTCCCCACGCCATGTCATAACATGGGGTATTAAACATGATGTGTGTCTGTGTGTGTGTGTGTGTCTGTGTGTGTCTGTATTTGTGTTTGTGTGTGTGTGTGTCTGTCTGTGTGTGTGTGTGTGTGTGTGTGTGTGTGTGTGTGTGTGTGTGTGTGCCTTTGTGTGCCTTTGTGTGCCTTTGTGTGTGTGTATGTGTCTGTGTGTCTGTGTATTCCATGTGCAGGTTATGTGGCGAATGTAGTCAAGCCCTTTGTCAAAGACAAGTTCTGCATTCATGCTTCTCCAGGTACGCACTTACAGACACTCCTTGAGCTCACTCCGTTAACTCAACAACTTGAAGTATCTCTGTGCTCTCCGATGTCATCTTGTTTTGTCATGGGTTCCGCCATCTGCTTGTGTCATGCACTGACGTTGATGTAGAGTTCTCGTCCATTTGTTTCTCTGTGGTTTTAGCTATGTTCCTTCTTTGCTGTCCATTCTTTCCTCTAACCTCGCTGATGTCAATTGCCTGCTGTGTTGGTTGTGGTTTGTGTTTACCTGTTAGGTCCTGGTGTCCTCACACTTGCATTGGATGCTGTTGCAGAAGTGAAGGAGCTGCGTGTGATGGATAACCGTGGACTATTTCTGGGTGTCTTTGAGGTATGAATGTTCTAAATTACCTCCTTTCTTATGGTATGAATGTTCTAAATTACCTCCTTTCTCCTTTGGTCTTCTTCTAATATCGAAAGGCTACCACCGCAGTCCGGGGAGAGCTTCACAATTTCGCTACCTGGAATGTGCCATCCGGAGGATCTCTTAGTACAAGGCACACTTTTCTCTGCTTCACCTGTTATGCTGTAGGAATACTGTAGGAATACTGTAGGAATACTGGCGCCACAGTAAAGTTAGCTACATGATGTGTTACGAATCTTACGATGCAGGAGATGCAGGAGGAGTGTGTTGTGTAGTGTTCTTGATCTGGCCTGCTGCTTTACTTCACCGGCCGCCGCCGCTTGGTTAACAGTGTTGAGATCAGTGACAATGTGAGACCAGTGACAATGTGAGACCAGTGACAATGTGAGACCAGTGACAATGTGAGACTAGTGACAATGTGAGACTAGTGACAATGTGAGACTAGTGGCAGTGTTGAGACCAGACTGATCTGAAGGAGCGTTGGTGGATGCCATGTCAACACGATACGTACGGGCGGGCGGTGGAGGACATGGAACATCTTCATGTCCCTACATTGTAGCTTCTTCTCTTTTTTTGATGTGTTTGGATGAGTCAGTACAGCCGGCACACGTATTGGATGAGAAATTGCCACTAGTCGTGGAGGGAGCAGTTATCTCTGGCATCTCGTTTTGCTTGTCGAGACATGCGCGTTTGTTGGTTGTTGTTTTTTCCCAGCCAACCCGCAATCCGTATGCTGCCTTTCCTACAAAGTTTGAGCAGCTGAGCGAAAACACGATCATTTTGAAAAGGGAAAAGGATTAGCAGCACTTTACACTGTTATATTTTGTTACTTGGAAAAGGAATTCACACTCTAAGACACTGTAAGACTGTAAGACACTGTAAGACACTCTAAGACACTCTAAGACACTGTAAGACACTGTAACACAGGTGTGAAAGAACAAGCGAATTGAAGCCTCGTTTTTTGCTGGTGATACAAAAGGGCGAGCATGTATTACTATTAGTAGGGCCGGTACGGCCATGGCCATACCAGTGTTTTACCTATTCCAGCATTCGTGGAATTTTCAGCGTACACGCCTGATTACCGTATGTCCGCACCTTTAAAGTCATGGCGGTATATTCGATTATAAAGCCAGTCTCAGTTATAAAGCCATGGGCTTCGTAAATGAAATGACATTTGAAGTATGTTTTGCAAAAAATGAAGGAATAAGTGCAATGCTAGCAAACTTACAGCCCAGCAGGAAGGGTGAACAAGTGGATTTAGATTGACATTTCCATGTGGACTTTGTCTGTTATGGCATGGCGTAGTGGGTGGGCCACTTTGCATCTAAAATAGCTAGGAAAGCAGTGGTGTTTCGAATATAGGGCCATGGCAAGGCGCTGACTGACGGTATGTGGAAGTACTGACTACCGTATTACCCCGATTATAAGTCGCACCTTTTTACGCTAAAAATTCAGGGTAAAAAAGGGGGTGCGACTTACAATCGAGCATGACTTACTACTGAAGTAGCCAGTGCAGGCTAAATTTTATTTTTCAAGGAAACCCTTCGAAAATGGTACCAATCGATTCAGCATGGCATTTTCATTCCTCCTGCAAAGTTTCAGCTGATTTAGAGTCATGACAAAGACGCTATGGCGATTTGAAGATCGAAAAACTTCAGTTTTGTTTGTCAAGAAGAAAGGCCATGATCGCACACAAATCATACAACCCGTGTGGCACAATGATTTTTGAACGATGTTGATCCGCGGACCCCGTGCTTCGCGCATGCATGCATGCATACTGCACAGTACAGAGGCTTTTTTGAACACAGATATGTAGTTCTTCGTCTTCTTCGAAATGTCTTCCAAATGCATGGTGCTGGTGTTGTTCTCTTCGTCAAGGCAGAATGCAGCTGCATGTGATGCTCCTGTGTGTTCATGCATGTTCTCTTTTCGCGTCTCGACATTGTAGCGTCCAGACTCAGCTCGACTGGAGAAGATTGAGGAGACTATGCTTTGATCCACATGGAAAATCGATGAAATTTGGTAATTATCGTCGGGCGCTAAAAAGCGCTGGGGAGCATGGGGTTAAAACTTCGTAGCAGTCATCCCTACCATGACAGGCATCGACTGGTATATGTTCCATTCTGTTCCCAACCACTACGGGTCGTCTGCGAAGCTTTCTTCTTCGCCGATTCTCGGACGGATCGTACGTCTTCGCACTGTATCTCTCGTCTCCCTCAACGGATCAAAACACGGTTTTCGCCAGGACGAACACAAACCTCCAGATTTCGCGGCGGCAACATCTTCGAGTAGGGAAAAGCTAGCAGCTAACCAGGAATCACCAACAAACACGTGTAATACTCAGTGTGATTTGCGACAGCTGTCATTGTGCCGTCGCACCATGCATGTACCATGCACGGGAATGGAACACGGATGAGTCGTTTTATTACGACAGCCTGCACTGGCTAACTGCAGTGAATATATCGCAACAATATTGCTCAAACCTGAAAATGATGGTGCGACTTATAATCGGCTTATATCCTCGTACACTCCTCACAAGAGTCTTTCTTCTCTCTAGACTACTAGTACTCTTGTCGTCCAGTGAGGACTCCTGTAAAACAAAGAAATGAAAGCAAAGTTCACACAATTGCGTTGAGAATCACGGCCAGCTTGGGAAGTTTTGCTTGTGTCTGAACTACTGTGCTAGGGGTGTGTCAGAACTACTGTGCTAGGGGTGTGTGTCTGTTGCTAGAGGAATGTCTAGCTGAAACAAACAGATGTGATGCGGCATGAAGCTAGAGATACATGCTCCCATTGTACTGAAACGGGGCATGCGGAAATGAGTGGCCCTGTAGCCGACCTGGGGCCGTGTCACCCCTCAGGAACCTGCAATCGAAGTGTATTGCTCACGGACAAACTTGCACATGCCGTACTTTCTGCTTGTCTATAACATCATCAGTTGTCCAGAAAGACGAGTAGAGTAGAACCCGGTTTAAGGGTCACACCGGATTAGGGATCGGAACCCGGGGGGGGGGGGGGGGGCACTTGGCACGTACATTGTACTGTGCGGGTGATCCTTCGGAGCCCGGGGGGGGGGGGGGGGGGGGCACTTGGCATGTACATTGTGCGGGTGATCCTTATACCGGGATTTAATTATCGGCCCAATGGGGGTCCCCCATCAGTTTCCGAGGAAGCCGTAATTCTTTTCGCTCCAAACTATTTTTCCGGGGTCCATCTACTCACAAAAAGTGGTTTTGCACACCTCTTTGCCCACCCCTGTACAACTGAGTCCAGCTATGTCCGCGCAGAGTTAGGTGGACCCCTAACCCGGGTTAGGTGGATCCCTAACCCGGGTTAGGTGGATCCCTAACCCGGGTTAGGTGGATCCCTAACCCGGGTTAGGGATCCACCTAACCCGGGTTAGGTGGACCCCTAACCCGGGTTCTACTCTACAGTTACAGCTACAGTTTTGTTCAGAACAGGTATTCTATGGTTGCAGGGAATTTCCTGAACGTTTTCAATTTTTCACTTTTTCATCTGCATGCCAAAGGTTCTTTCTGGACCGCAGCTGGTGCTTTGGGTGTGTTTGCCCTGCCTATGCGCTACACTACTTGCCCTGTCACACACTACTCTTTGCAGGGGGGGGGGGGGGGGCAGGGTTTTGTATTCCATCATTTTATGATCTGCGCTCGACCGGTGAAATTTATCTTTTCTCCTCTCTGTGTGGCTTGCATGCGTCCTCGCAGCATCTGCAGGAAAGCAAGTTGCCTACGTTGAAAGCCTTTCATGGGAACATAGCCAAGGTCACTCCGAATGCGCTGGGCGATGAAGATGCCGAAGACTATGACTCTCTTGAGATGTCGGTATTTCCGACGTTTGGGGAGGTATTGGATGGCATTCCGGAGACACCATGGAATGAAGGTAGGTAGACATGTTCAAACCTAGAGTTTTCTTCATACATTTACTTGGTCCGCGTCAGCGATATTGTCGCTTATCTTTGAGCTTTGTTTATATGTCGCCAATGCTTACTTGGCAGCCCATTTCATCCCAATTTTGGTTAGCAAGTTAGTTTGCTAGTACCTGAAAGGTCTAGCTAGAGTTCGAGTGGATTTCGAGAGCGACAGATGGGTGATTCTGATTGATACAGCGCCGCATCAAAATAGATTATCTTGTTACGCTGTGCAGGCAAGAGCAGCGCAAGCCACAAGAAAGTAATCGGCTACTCGGAATCAGCTCCATTTTGCTGAACGGCCGAGATCGCTCACCTCAGGGATCGCTCATCAAGCTGGGATCGCAGCTCCCTTACCTCCAGCTCAACGCTCGGAGTATCCAGCGCGTTGTGGAGATTTGCAAGTACGACTCGTACTGTACGCGTCGTCGTCGTTCAAAATAAAATCTTGCAAAGAACGGCGTCTGATTTGAACCACACAGGGTGTCGTGCTGCCCACGCGAAGTCCTGTAGAGAAGGCGACCGTCACGATCGACTTCTCTTTAGAAAATAGCCAGGCAGCGGAGAGGAAGAGAGATGAGCTTGCAAAAGCAAGAGAGTCGATCCCGAGCAAAAATATTTGTCGCCAGCGCTGAGAGCAGTGACGAGGAGGACCGAAAAAAGTAGGAATCCTTCCTTGGACAATAAATTCCTCGCAGCTAGTTGTCATTCTATACCTTACCGTCCATCGTACCAAGTTTTATCACTTCAAGTGCACGCGTTCATGTCCAAAGTCTAAGTTCAAATTGTCGAAAGATAAGCGACAATATCGCTGACGCGGACCAAGTACAGATTTCCAATCGAGAGGTTGAGGAATCGATACCCGACAATCATGATCACACACGGCTTTCTTCTCTTTCTCATTCTCCTTGCTTTTCTTTATTTCTCCAGCCTGGTTACCAGTAGCCAGTGTATGCAAAGTGGGTGGTCACTGGTGTGATGTATGTACTGTAGGATCGGGGTTCTAACTTCTAGCCAGGGGGGGGGGGGGGGGTATCTCCCCCCCCCCCTACTCTGATAGCACACCACCCTACTCATTTTTCGAATACAGGTGGAATCCTGATAATTCCAACACCAAAATGCCGCGGAAAAACTTATCCGGACATTCTAATTTTCCAAACATGTACCCACAACACATTATGTATGTCAAAATGCTCGCATTGACACGCAGAATTGCACTACGCACCTTGGACACAGATTTAGTGGACACTGAACTGCCTGTGCATGCAAACTAAACTGATTTGCAGAAAAATAACGTGAACTTCTAATTATGGTTTGCTAACTTCGAATTATCAGCACTAATCCCACACATTTTGTATGTACAGTAAAACCTGTAACTAAAGACCACCGTGACTAGCGACCAGCCTGGTACTACCGACCACTTGGCCAGGCACGGACGGTCTCACATTCAAAATGCACTGTGACTAGCGACTACCTGCTGAACGCGACCAGCGACCGCCTTTTCTTGTCCCAAAGACGATTTTTGACCCGTAACTAGCGACCGCGATGTAGGAAATCAAATGTTGCTCGAAGCTCCTTCTTGAAATTTTGCTGATTTTCCATGGTCCTGAAAGGAATCTTTCGGTACTACAGCTGAACAAATGAACGTAGGCCATTATGACTGTGGAGTCGGCGTGGACTGCACTACACCTGTCAGAATTTCAAGCGCTGTCAAGAATAAACATGATAGGAAACGTCTTTGAGAGCGCATCGAAAGCCCTCTCTGCTCGATGTTACTACTCGGAGGAGAAACAAAGACTGAGCGGCTCTGTCACCCCAGTCATACAAATGAATCGACGATGGCGTCAAGGAATCCAGAAACATAAGCAGCACCGCAAGGTCCTGATGCTGAAGGATCGCGTTCGAACAATCGAGAAGTCACAACAAGGATAGTCGGTACGATTGATCGGATGAACACATTTGAAGCCCAGCGCAAAACGAAACTTCCACAGGGAACGTTTGACTCCTGGCTTCAGATGTAGCAGCTGAATTTGATGTCTGCAAAAAATTTAATCTTCTCTCTCTCTTTTTTGTCTCTCTCCATCTCTCCGTCTTTCTCTCCAAATGTTGTTTGACCTGAAATAAGAATGGCATTGCGCAAGTCCCAGTGGCGTGTCCAGGATTTGGCTGAGGGGGGGGTTGCGGCCGGGATCAAGGCGGGATGGGGTGGGGGTAAATGACATCATGCTACTGTCCCAGGTCAGCCATTTTGAAAACCGATGTCAAGAAGCTCCTCCTGTAGCCCCCTTCTTCAACAGTTATTCACCCGAACGGCCCCAGAGACTGTTCCGGAGGATGAGCGCACCACACGGGGACAAGTGTCGAACTTGCTTCAAGTTCCCTTTCTTCGTGGGCCTGCGGGACGATCGACCATGATGTTTCAGGGAAGCATTCTCTGGAACGCTCTCCCCTCTGATTTTAGAGTGATACGTGTCCCTGGTCCCTTCCGAAAAGCTCTTTCTGCCATTGATATACTTTCTTAGTGAATATCCTCGTTAAACTTTTATTATCTGCCATAAATTCCAACCTTCTCATCTATCACATTTGTGCATGCATGTCTATAAAATCAACCACGTGTTCCTGACTCCATGAGATTGTCTTTCTATTCTTTGACTCCATGAAATTATTGTCTTTCTATTTCTGACTCCATGAAATTGTCTTCATATAATTTTTCCTTTTCTTCTTTTGGTCCTTTCTGTCTTATAATAATTATTATTATTATCATTTCTTGTTTTCCCTTGCATATCATCTCTTCATCATTCTGTGAGAACCTGTCCTATGGGCAGGTGAGAAGGCATCTCTGCCTGCTCATTGGTGAAGTAAAATAAACAACAACAACAACAACAAGCCGTAAATCTCACACACCACGAGCAGTATTTCTGTACACGCAGCAACAATGTACATTGTAAACTTCAAATTTGCCGTTAGGTGAGCGAATCAACTGCAATAATTATGCGAGTCCAACAATTTCTCACCGCTCTCAAAGAGTCAAAGCATCCTTTACATAGGCAGCGGTACTTGTCACTGTGCGCTGTTCTTCATGTTCTGGCTGCTCGCTGACAACAGGTTCTTCCACGCGTCTGGCGGAGTGTGACTGTCAGTCCGCTCCGAAAGTTCAACTGGAATAACAGCGACTTCATCACTCCCACTGTTTCCTGTTGGAGCGGCAGCAGGAGTTGCGCCGCCACAGGAACGCTTTACAAAAATTCCAGGCTCTGCTGGCTAGAGCTTGGCCTTTTGGGATGTCCCTGAGACATCGAAGAAAAGCCTTCGAGTCAACCAAAACACGATTCGAACGAGGATGATCGCCTGAGCCCTCGGCATTCGAATCGTGTTTTGGTTGACTCGATCGAAGACTTTTCTTCGATGTTTGTACCGTTGAAGACGCGTCGAGCGCGTCCCAGCAGGGATCACACTGTACAACAGTACACACAGGTCACCGTGTTTCTGTAGCCGCGCTGTGCATGCTCACTGATCTACGTAGACTCTACTCTGTAGACTGAGTCTGTACTAGTCTGTAGTGTGTACAATCAACACCAGCTCGACCGTGCAACCGCTTTTGGACAATCGTTTCAGGCCGCGCGCGCCCCGAGCCTAGTCTAGCTCGACCCGGCGCCCTAGTATTATTTTTCGAAACCTAGGTCGAAATTTTTGAGGGGGGGGCGCGCGCCCCCCGCGCCCCCCCCCTAAACCCGCCACTGAGTCCTGGGGAATTGTATTAGCTGCATTTTGATATGCATATCATATACTGGGATCCATATATGGTCACATGGTGCAAACCTCTAACTAAAGACCACCTGCTACTAAAGACCGCTTTTGCTGGCACCTAGGGCAAGGGGTCGGTAGTCACAGGTTTTACTGTAAGTGGATTCCGTGGGACTTCTTATTAACCGGACATATCCAGTTCGAGGTTTTAATTATCAGAAATTGTTTTGTGGAAATTGTATTGACAGAAATCGGTCCCGGAAGAAACTTCTAATGAAGCAGTATGTTCTAATTAAACCATATTCGAATTGTCAGAACTTCGCCTGTACCGTAAAGTACCGCCAGAGCGCCCCGTCTCGCCAGAGCGCCCCACCTTGATTTTACAGCCAGAGAAAGGAAAATCGTATGGCAGAGTGCAACGAAGTGTGTACGATGTGAGAATCTTAGTGTACTAAGGTCACACTTGGCAGGTTTTTTGTGTGGAGCTTGTGCTCTCTTGAAGGTACGGATAGACTGCAAAACGTGCAATATGTGTACAAGGTTCATGACGTATGGCCTACAGACAGCAGACCACCTCCACAATACGACCACGAAAGGATGAGATGGTGGGGCGCTCTGGCGGTACTTTACGGTATTATGTTTTTTCAGTTCGCACAGTGGAAATATGGCCACAAATTGATTGTTTCGGGTGCTCTGTGCACCCGTACATTTTGTTGTGACAAGGCAATAGTGGAACATGGAAAAATGGGCGAGGTCCCCCCCCCCCCCTACAATTTTTCCTGGCAGGAACCCTGAAGGTAATCAAAGACCAGAATTCCGGGATTCACTGGCCGAAAGAGCAACTTCAAAAAGCTGTGTGGTGTAGACCAGGCTGAATAGTGGTGGTCAATTCTTCAGCCTTGCAAGCTGTTGAATGGTGCAATCCCAGCACAAGCTGCTATGGCTTCTGTTGTAGCATCGCTATCATCGCCTCTGGCGATGGTCGTCAAATGGTGTGTGTGTGTGTGTGTGTGTGTGTGTGTGTGTGTGTGTGTGTGTGTGTGTGTGTGTGTGTGTGTGTGTGTGTGTGTGTGTGTGTGTGTGTGTGTGTGTGTTCAATCAGCTGTGTGTGTTCAATCAGCTGTTTGTGTTCAATCAGCTGTGTGGTGGATACCAGGCTAAAATTAGTGGCGGTCAATTCATCAGCCTTGCAAGCTGTTGAATGGTGTAATCCCAGCACAAGTTGCTATGTCTAACATAGCTGTTCGCTATCATCGTTTCCGCGATGGGAAGCGATGGGCATGTCTGAGTGTGTGTGTGTGTGTGTGTGTGTGTGTGTGTGTGTGTGTGTGTGTGTGTGTGTGTGTGTGTGTGTGTGTGTGTGTGTGCGTGTGTTCAATCAGCTGTGTGTGTTCAATCAGCTGTTTGTGTTCAATCAGCTGTGTGGTGGATACCAGGCTAAAATTAGTGGCGGTCAATTCATCAGCCTTGCAAGCTGTTGAATGGTGTAATCCCAGCACAAGTTGTTATGTCTAACATAGCTGTTCGCTATCATCGTTTCCGCGATGGGAAGCGATGGGCATGTCTGAGTGTGTGTGTGTGTGTGTGTGTGTGTGTGTGTGTGTGTGTGTGTGTGTGTGTGTGTGTGTGTGTGTGTGTCCCATATGGTGCAGTGGTATGTGCAGCGATTTCCAATCGATAGGTTGCGGGTTCGATTCCCGACGATTATGGTCACACACGTCTTTCTTCTCTTTCTCAGACTCTTCCTGACTTTTCTTTCATTCTCCTGGGTGGTTACCAACAGCCAGTGTATGCCGGAGTATGTGGTGTGGTGTGTGTGTAGAAAAAATGGAAAAATGAAAAATAGGGATTCACTGGCCAGAAAAAGTCACTTCAAACAGCTGTGTGGTGGATACCAGGCTAAAAATAGTGGCGGTCAATTCATCAGCCTTGCAAGCTGTTGAATGGTGTAATCCCAGCACAAGTTGCTATGTCTAACATAGCTGTTCGCTATCATCGCTCCCACGATGGGCACGTCTGAGGTCTGAGGTCTGAGGTGTGTGTGGTGTGTGTGAATGGTGCAATCCGAGCACAAGCTGCTATGGCTCCTGCTGTAGTATCGCTATCATCGCCTCCGGCGATGGGCGTCAAATGGTGTGTGTGTGTGTGTGTGTGTGTGTGCGTGCGCGTGCATGTTGCTGAGTTGGTTCAGGCAAGTCCAGACGGTCATCAGCTATCCTCTAGTTGATTGCGATGTCTTTGTTTGTGCTTTAACAGAGGCGCAATATACCAGGGTTGCACCATTTTACACTATGTCTTTGTGTGTGTGTGTATGTGTGTTTGCTTTACAGAGGCGCAATTTGCCATTGTTGCACCATTCGGCGCTGACATGCTCCCCTTTCTGGGTATTCTCCTGCCACATGTCTGTGGCAAGTCTGGCTGGTTCTCGAGGGGTCGCTGCTCCATTATCGGTGCTGTGTCATGCCTGATTGATGACCCAGTGAGTGCTTGCTGTGTAACCAGTAGGCGATTAAGTAGACAGGTTGGCCATTTGGTTTCCTGCTTGTCTGCATATTCTGTTGCTATGTGCCCTGTGCATTTTAAGGAGAGATTTCACTAGCACTGGTTTGGAGTTGTCACATGGCAGCAGCTCTCCATGTTCTCTTGTGTGTGTTACTACTAGCAAGAGTACATGACCAGGTGATGTACTCTTGCTAGTAGTAACAAGGCCGAAACAGCTAGCTGTTCGGATATTGAGAGTATTACGCTCCCTCGCATCGGCTTGGTTGAGCACTCTTTCTGGTTAGCGCTAAAGTGTTCTGCCCTCGTCACGCAAATCTCGCTATGTTTATCACAGTTGGGACACTCTGACGTGTTTATCACAGTTGGGGCACTCTGACGTGTTTATCACAGTTGGGGCACTCTGACGTGTTTATCACAGTTGGGACACTCTCTCTGACTTTGATGTTTTGAGCCGGTTTAAACCATGCTTTGCTGTTTCAATAGCCTTGATTGTGACTGGTTCGGTCAGTAACTTTGAGCTTCGCTGAGGAGACCTGACCAGGTGGAAACAGCTAGCTGTATGGTGATTGAGTGTGTTACTACTGTTCAACTCCTTTTTTTTGTCTTTCTGATTGAGTGTGTTACTACTGTTCAACTCCTTGTTTTTGTCTTTCTGCGTATCAAACTGGAACTAAAACTGCGCATCTACACTGTTGTTCAGTGAAACATGACCTTGCATTGTGTGACCTTTGCAGCTCAGGCACTGTGGACTGTTTACTTGCTTGGATGCACTGCACCTTGTGATTAGAGATTGAACTGCACCATCCAGAACTGGACATGTACATCTCTCTCTCTCTCTCTCTCTCTCTCTCTCTCTCTCTCTCTCTCTCTCTCTCTCTCTCTCTCTCTCTCTCTCTCTCTCTCTCTCTCTCTCTCTCTCTTTTCTTCTTTTCTTACTCACTCTGATGATTCTCTCTGACTGTGTGTGTGTGTGTGTGTGTGTGTGTGTGTGTGTGTGTGTGTGTGTGTGTGTGTGTGTGTGTGTGTGTGTGTGTGTTCTGTATGCATTCAAAAACTCCTTTAGCATGATTGCAGAAATTACAGTCCATGGTGTCTGTGCAGTGTGATACAGTGTACAACTGTGCACACTCACCCTCCATATTAGCATACATATCACTGTGGCTCCGTGTTTTCTTGGCCCTGTTGCTGTAGGTACTGCTAGGATCAGCTCCTAGCAACCATAAACTGTCGTACTACAATGCTTTAATAGAGCAAGTTTTCGACGTAGAACTGCTTTGTGAGGTAAGCTTTTTGAATATACAGGTGCGTTACCTGACAGGTCCATAGAGTGGGGGGGGGGGGGGGGCTGAGTCGAATGATCCTGGTCCCACATCTCTCCGACGAACCGTCCATGCGGTTGCGAGACATCCCTGCTAAGTCGCAGTGTGCAGGCAGGTTATAAGGAGATCGTGAAAGCAATAGTGCCAATGCTACTTCTACTGATTTGGCGGCTGAGGGTAAGCAGGATGAGTGACCCCGAAGTTGTTATCTCCATGTGAGAGTGAGGTCCAATGGTCTTGGTCCGAAGAGGCTGCAGCAAACGGTTTCCCCAATCGAACGTGCTCCGAGGAGTGGCCTTTTTGCATTCAAGATGATTGTGTGGCCACCAGGCTGCAGCCAGTGCACTTGCAGACCTGTGTGCTTCTCTCGCGACGGGCGTACATGGTATTTGCTGTGTGTGTGTGTGTGTGTGTGTGTGTGTGTGTGTGTGTGTGTGCGTGCGTGCGTGCATGCGTGTGTGTGTGTGTGTTTCCTGCAGCTCCCTGTGGATCATGGTGCTTGTAAAATTGTGAGTCATCCTTGCACTTGACCCACGTGTGTGGTGTTTAGTTGTTGGAGTGCAGCCTCCACCAACCTATACCTGTACCTGTTTGCATGTTGCACTGATAGTTCCAATTATAAATCTCATCAGCATCACATGGTGGTGTGCTGTCTTGTGTTCTTGTGTTCCTGGGGTTTGTAGTTGGTACTATGTCCTATGAGTTGTTATCAAGCTGTTCAGCTTTTTTCTTCTGTACAGTCGACCTACCCTTACAACGATATTTGCATCAGACCAAGAAATACAGTAGCGGTGAGGCATCCTGCAGCTTCATAACTCGAGAGAATTGGTGAGCACACATGCTCATTCCCTGGGCACTGCAAATTCACAACTCATTTCCTTTCACGGAATCATTTTCAACGCGCTGTGCTAACTTATTACCAACACCCAGCATATGAGTCAGTGAAAACTTGTGATCTTTCACTAGTTTTAGACATGTCATATTCCTAGCACTGAGGTAACATGATTGTGTAGTCATAGAAATATTAAGAACACCAAATTAGTGTATATAACTGCTCCTTGGAAGACTTCCACTTCATATTGCATCCTGATGATGGCAATTTGCCGAAACGTTGAAAATGACTCTGTGAAATGAAATGAGTTGTGAATTTGCAGTGCCCAGGGAATGAGCATGTGTGCTCACCAATTCTCTTCGAGACCAAGAAATGTCGTTATACGGGTAGGTTGACTGTACCTTGTATAATGCCACACCAAGTTAATTCTATGTTTCGCGTCGGAAATTTTGTGGAAAAGGTACCCGGGCGGGCGGAAAAAACCCCAAAAACAGACAAAACAAGAAAACTCCATTCTATAGGCACTTAGCCATCTATGGCCATGTTGCACACAGATAGCACTATTCCTCTGTCACAATACACTGCACTATACAGCCACTGAGGCAGACAGTAGATCAAGCACCAAGAAATGCTGACAGGAGCGTGTCCATATTCCAGCCTATCCAGTATAATTATAATTATCGTAGCAATCATGTAATCAGTTCCTCACTCAAATTTGAACTATGTACATGTACATCTATGAAAGAGATGCACTCGTGAACAAATACGTGCAAGGAGCAGCCATTCATACCTCTGCCTCGGCATGCTTGCGCTTTCGAGCAGCAACAGCTCCGGCTTTCTGGGCTCCACGTGTGCGTGGCTTGCCACTTTTGCCATCCCACTGGATGCATGGCATGTGGACAACCTGGTAGCGCTCCTGATCGGCCTGTGGTACTGGCATTGGTGGCTCAGTACCACAACCATAGCACGTCGGAGCAAACTTTTTGCATGCGAGGTATGAGCGCTCCACATCACTTGCACACAGGGGCGTAGGCAGGGGGGGGGGGGGGTGCTTTGGGTGCCAAAGCACCCCCCTCAAATATTTCGACCATGGGTCTGGCTTGGCATGCATTGTATGATCAAACAACCGCGAGTCGCGCGACTGCCCTCAGCCCAGACTGGGTGCATGCTACGTAGATCTGCGAGTACTGCATTGTACTACACGTGCTTGCACTTTTCCGTTGCAGTCAGTGTTAAGTATCCATGCAGCCGCGTAGCGCGTGATCCGGCCTGTACTACCTACACAGCTAGCGCTATCGATATCGCTAACTGTAGCTGACCAAGCGCCACGCGGCTGTCAATGTCAGAACCAAGGCAAAAAGGTTTCATCACTATTACCGTACATCAATCATCATGGTACATGACAGATAGATGTATGGTTCACTGGTTTCGGTGCCTTGTCTCTGCTGTTTTCCGGGCGGCAACTGCGCTTTCAAACTCATACCAGATTACAGCCAGCGCGGAGCGCTTTGTTTGGTTTGAGTCCTGTTGCATATCGGAGTCCCGGCTTTGTCCTCTTGCTTTTGGGTGAAAAACTTGGAAGTTTCCAAATTGTTGAACGCTTAGTCATATTTTGATCGACGACGATGTCCTTGCTCCAGTATTTCAGCAAAGCGAAGCGGAAAAAGGTAGACGTGGTAGAGAGTTCTGACTCTGAAACTGTTGGACCTGGAGACTCCGAGTCCGAGTCGAGTGCCCAAATTCCTTCTCCCAGTATTCCAAGTCAAGTGTCTGCAGCTCAGTCACCAGTCACCTGCATACTATTAATTTTGCTTGCTCTAAATACATCATTAGTATCGGATATCTACTCCCAAACTATCACTTTAATAATAGCATAGTATACAGTACACTAGCTGTCACACAGAAGAGGCCCAAATTTGTATTGAATGTTTTCGCTCTATTCACATCATGACGATACATAGAGAACAGTTGACAATGCAATGCAAATGTGTAATTATATAGATTGTTGGAATGGGAAGCTGGAGACATTCATAATACATAAATTCAAGGTGTACACCGCACTAGCATGCATATACAATATGCATATATACAAGATTTCTCAAAAGAACGTTTTTGGAAGAAAATTATGGGCACCCCCCTTAACCATGATCCTGGCTACGCCCCTGGCACATGTGATGCCTGGCCGCCAACAATGACGCTGTGGAGGTCATGGCCGTCGGGTAGCAGTGGTGCTCCACAAACAAAGTCAATATCCTCCAAGGCCATTTCAAGAGCTGACAGCTGGCCAGGCTTCAGCTTGTTGCTGCTGAATACACAGCGGGGCTTGCTGCACTCACTGCAGTTTACAGCCTTGCGCACCGTCTCTGACTTCAGGTGGATGTCTCCAGCCTTGGTCGTCTCCCTGCAGTTGGCAAGTGGAGCCGCTGCCGGACAACACTCCATCGTTGTCTGGCCCCAGACATCGGAGAACGGAGGCAGATAGCTGTCCGGCCCGGGCTTCCTGACCGCAGGATGCAGGATCTGGGAAGAAGGTCAGCGAGGAGAACACATCCTCGGGCAGAACAGTTGGCCCGCAGATATCGTAGTCCGCAGCACCACACTTCTTGATGGTAAAGAAGTAGTGGCGGGATTGGCAGCAGTGGTCACATAACGCCTTCAGCTGCTGCTTATTCTTGATGGATGCCTGAGTTTCAGCCCGTTGCATACTGGCATCAACAAACGACATGTTGGTCCACATCTCATCAATCTCATCATGCGAAGCAGCTGGGAGCACAGTCACCGGCTCACCCTTCAGGCTGAGGCGTGACAGTGTGGAGGACATCAGGTCCATGGGTGTCTGCACTGACTGGAGGAGTGCCTTCTTCAGCGCAGGGTGCTTTTCTGCAATTGATCGAAGCTCCTCAATCGAGTTTGCGTTCTTTACCTGCTTCTCCATGTCCGCAGCCATCTCCGAGCGCATGATTCCAATGGACTGAACGGCAAGGTTCAGGATGGACATCACCCGCTCCACTATGTTGCGCAATGATTGCATTGGAGCGGTTCTCATAGCCACCAGATAATCCAAATACAACGACTAAGTCTTGAAGATGCACATCAGGGTGGTTTGGACGGATACATATGTTGTCCGATGGTCTGGGCCGCCATCTGTATAGAGCAGTAGGATTGGCTTCACGATCGTGTCGACACCGGCTTTGCCCAGGACGCTCTTCAACTCGGCCATGTGGCGTGGCAGTGGTGTGGACGGCTGGAACACAGTGGTGTGGCAGCGGTGTGGACGGCTGGAACACAGTATTCTTCAGGACAACATACACCTTGCCGCTATAGAAGGAGCCTTCAATGGTCTCTGAGATGTCACATACCAGAGACACAGATGGTGTTACCTTGGCCTGTGTGAAGTCATGGTCAGCAACTTGGAAGGACTCCTCCGCACCAACTACAACTGATCTGCCACGGTCCACAGCAGCGACTGGTAAGCCAGGCTCTCCAATCTTGACCAGATGTTTGTCATCCATTGACACGAGTGTTGCACATTGCCTGTGCAGTATAGCAAACTCTCGGAGATAGCGGAAGAAAGCAGCTTCACCATGTTAAGTGACGAACATTGTTTCACAAAGTCGCTCGTTGAAATGGCAGCAGCAAGATGCGTGACAGTACCATAGCGACGACTATCGACCGCCTGCATAGCATGAGCTTCCAGAAACGCTTTTACAGCATCCCAGAATGTCTGGTATGTTTCTGGACGACCAGAATTCATCTCCTGGAGGTCAAATACCAGCTCAGGATCCTGCGCATCCAGAGCAAGCTGATCATGCGCATCCAGAGCAAGCTTGAGGCGGTCATGAACAGTGGCAGTGGCGGCACAGGGAAGAGCAGAATAGTCACCGGTCAGTTCCCTGTACATGTCGGTGAGTATGGTCGGGCTAGTGCCGGACAGTATGCCATATCGATTCACAAATGCAGACTGCATTGCTTTGGTGTGGTAGCTGTCCATGTTGCCCTTGAGAGAATCAACAATTTTCGTTGTACGGTCCGGGTCTGGTCTGCCTTGTCCACACGCCAGCACCACCACAGAGTTGTGAGGTTGCTACCTCGGCTGTAGCTCACCATTTCTACATCGATTGGAAGCTGGAGCTCATGGACATAGACATACCTGTCATGGCGTTTGCTGGGCATGTACAGATTCATGTGTACTGGGCCATACACAGATTCATCCTGCAGTGCGTCTTCCAGGTTCCTGTAGCGCTGAATATATTTCGAGTTAGTGCGTACAGCGGCAGGCTTTACAGTCACAGCAATGGAGGTGCCATCTCCAGGGTGGTGAGCAGCATCTAGAGCATTGGGTACTCTCTTTTTTGTCGACCATTTTCGAAAAGGTACATGCACGGTGATGCGAAACATAGAAATAACTTGGTGTGGCCTAATAGCAAACAAGAGGACAAGTTGAATGGACGTATGGATACGTGTACTAAGTACTTCATTCATGTAGAGTCTAGCCGTGGAAACAATGTGCAATATTAAAAATGAAACCAGCATGAAATAGTGAAGAGAGTACCGTACTTCCGCACATATAAGCGCATGTGCTTATGTCCGGACAGAAGCGCACCCCTCAATTATAAGCGCATGTGCTTATATGTGAACACTATTGGTGAAACACCCGGGAGCTGAATATACTGCTGAGCATTGTGATAACACTGTTGTTTGAGGCACAGACAAACCTTTATTGCACATATAAGCGCATGGGCTTCTACCCGAACATGTTCACACAGCAACACATCTTTTTTGTAGCAAATTTTCACTTATAAGCCCATGGGCTTATATGTGGGGAAGTACGGTAATAAAGATTCGAACAAGTTCTCATACTTCGAGTACAACACCCCGTGTGATGGGCTTGGTGAGTGACGGACATTGCAGCACAATTGGAGAGAACCAGACTAAGAGATGAAATCCACCAATAGTAACGGCACACTGAATATATACAAGTGTGAATTGTAACAATGAATGTGAGACCAACCAACATACTAATGCATGTAGCTTGCATGTTGTCACTTCCTTGACTTGTGAAATGCTGCAAATCAGGAATAGTTGGCATTAGTGAGACCGAGATTAGTGCACGTGTCGTGCTGGAGTGCTGTCATGTTTGCTACGGTAGCAGAAAGTATGGTGGACAGCTCGTTTGCACAGAAAGTATGGTGGACAGCTCGTTTGTACAGAAAGTATGGTGGACAGCTCGTTTGTACAGAAATATTATGCCGACGAACGGTTTTCAGACAAACTCATGCAAAATATTTTACTTTCCAAAATAGTGTTGCTTTACAGTATTTGGGGGAAAGGTTGATTGTCAACTTGAACTTTAAATAGTAGCACCTCTAATGAACTGCGATCAACAGAACGAGCTGAACCGACATTTTACAAAGGCGTTATTTATATTCAAAACAACTGGAAACGAAGACGGTGAAGAACAAGGAACTACTTCGAAGTAGGAAACTTGAAATGTGGTTGCATTTCTCTTTTGGTGTATTGTCCATGTTATTACCGAGTGGGAGCAGCGGCTGTGAATGACGCCCAAGTCCTACGCTTGTGACTGTGCATACATGTGGCTCTTGCAAAGGCCTGGCGGAGTACTTACTCGTGCGATCGTGCCAGGTTTATGGTGTGACCTAGTCTGCTCTCTTGCCTGCCGTTTGTCTTTTCTTGCCTGTCCTAGGCCCCTATTGGAGTGCACAGAGGCAAGAATGTATGTATTCGTGTCTTCTCGTTCACACCCAAGCTTGAACATCCAGGTAAGGGTGGTGTAGGTGCGCTTTTTACATTCTTGACATGGGTGTGTATGTGTAAGTGTGTGTACGCATGTGCATGGACGTGTGTGTCCATCATCCACTTTCTCGTGTGTTCACTTGCAATCTTCCTGGCCATGGTGGACATATGGGGGGGGGGGGGTAGCTTGTGCAGACGCACACGCAGTGGCGAACTCTTGAAGCTTCATCAATGTTGAGAAGACTATGGGGCCCATCACTCTCCAGGGCACGGGGTGTTTCTTTCACGAATTGAACAACCACGTGAACCACGGCTGCCAGCTGGATTTCAGGTCATTTCTGTCTTGGTCGTCGTCGAGGATAGTCTTCAGTTCATCAGCAGTCGCTGAGCAAGCGTCACCCAAGTCTTCTAAGAATGGCCGGATATCTCCAAAGCTCGTCAAGACGTAGTCCCGCTCGTCAGGAGAAACCGTCAGCTGCCGATCCCGATATGGCGTGTGCACCGTGGCGAAAGCACCGTACAAACACCGAACTCCAACTACCCGATGGAGTTCTCAGGCGCACATGGGTACCCGACTACCCGCTCTCATTATGGGTAGCACTGCTACCCGACTACCCGTTCTCATTTCAGGTAGCACGGGTACCCGACTACCCGCTCTCATTACGGATAGACCCGACTACCCGATGACATCCCTACTCTTGATTATGCACTGTATCTGGGGCGGCCAGGGTACTGTGGTGCATGCTCCTGTTCTGTAGTCTCGGCTACTGGCTGCAAGCGTTAGGTCACTGTCCGGTGTTGAGTTTTCTTTAGCAGCAGCACTTAGTGTTGTGGTTGGTGCGTGTGTCTGGTGTATTTAAAAGCTAGGGGTTGTTTGTGGTGGCACGCCATCCGAACTAAAATCGTGTTTGTCCCTGGCTATGATTGCTACACTGCTGGACTTTAGATGTGTTCGACTTGGCTCTATACCGCGTTATCTATCCACAATCACTTCTTCTGGACTCTCCGATCTTCGACCATATCAAGTGAGTGACCATGTGCAATGGCTTATGGATTTTGCTTCTGTAGATCTGTATTGTGTTTGTTGTGCATCTGCTGGGTGGGGGAGTATCAGGTATGGGTATAGTACGATACTGGTACTTCCAATTATAAAGATACTAGGCCCCTGAAGCTTATGATTGTAATAGTCCTTATGCACATTACATCATCCCGTACAGATGTACGAATTCCCGTAGGTGTGTACATGCACGGTTGGGTGTTCATTGTGTAGTGCTATACATGCACATTTGACCAATTTAGCTCAATACTTAGTGGCAGACAGTCGCTTTTCCAGCTTCATCAGTTTGGATAGAACTAATGACTAGCTAGAACTTCGTCTAAAAAAAAACTGTTGCATGAAATGCCTGAAGGGAACGATTAGTAAACGAAAAATAAAGATAACACAATAGGGTCCTGTACATTCAACACCCAACCAGGTCGACGGGATTCCACCGGATTTCATATGTGACGTTAATGTGCATAAGGGTTATTGAGGCTGAAGCGATCATTCAGGAACTCTTAACGACTAACTAATATCAACGATTGGTTTATGGGTTTTATCGATTCTTGTTGGGTGTGCTTTGTGTACGTTCCAGAGAAAAGCCACATTTAAGGCCGCACCGAAAAAGTCCTTCGTTTTGGGTAACCCGACCGACCGATGTTTTGAGCGCAGCCGATTCTTTTTCTTTCTTTTTTGCATTCATAATTTCATACATATTCGCATCATACGCATGTAGTACCATGTCATGTACATGTACATGTATGTGCTCGCACTTCGCGTTGTGCCAGGTCCAAGGCCAAGGCTCTTCCTTCCCGCACTTTCTATCTGGGCTGTGTACTGACATGTGCATACCGCGTACCGGTCTGGCATGCGTAACAATTATCAGCAAAAAAAGGGCCAGCCAACCCACCGGTATTTTTCTGGCCATGTTACCCAAAACAAAAGACTTTCTCGGTGCGACCTTATACATGTATAGACAATTCACGGTGCTCTGGATAAAATTAGATGTGATCACCAGTCAAACAGTTAGAATGTACCCAGGGTCAGTTTCCGCTTGTCGGGTATTCAGCCGTAAACACTTGAGACAGTGTGTGTCATTGCACAGGTTTTGCACCTGTAGACAACTGGCTGGTTGGCTGGTTTTTAAATATTTTGAATAGGGCAGTTCCCACAGGCCTGTGGCCTTTTGACAGGGTACTACCCTATGTGATGACGAAGAGAATTGCGGAACAATGAAAATGAGGAGCAGGGGCGAATATTGTTTCAGAGGAATACATGATTTTTTGTGTAATGATGATGAATTTTTAAAGTAAAAAGAGAAAGGACCGAGTAGTTCCATGTACTAGGAAAGGGTTTGCTCCCCACCCTGGAGCTCGCGCTATTCCGCCGACTTGACACTTGACTGCCTCACGACTGCCATCCAGAGCACACGAGAAGTCCATCGAACCGTCCACTCGGCAAACCTGCAATAAAGCACCACTCCCTGCTCAATACACAGTGTTTCGCGGAATTCGGCACCCCTCATCAGTTCAGCTTGAGTAGGCCGAGGAAGATTGTGCCTGAAGAGCACCACTTTTATAGTGCTCTCCAGGCACAAACATCACCAGGGATACAAACCTACAAAGACGTTCCGTTTCCAGCGCGACAAACACCTCGTGAACACCAGATAGCAGCGTGAGTCAGTGTCGCTCCTGACCGGTGAGAACAGACGTTGAGGACCCTCGGTCATTCACAATGCTGTCACCTCCGAACCAGCTAGTCGCAAGCCCGCGTTTGGCACAACAGTACGAAATAGTGGTTGCGACTTCGGCGATGATTTGTTAGCAAACCCTTTCCTAATAAGGTACTAGTTATGACTAACAGTCCACCAAGGTAATGAGATCTTATACAGTCAGATAGTGCGACAACAAGCCACAGAACTGACAAGGATATTGAGACATTCGACGACCTGACACCTAGCTCCAACACATCTACGGAGCGCAAACCAACAACCTTCCAGCTTATAATACTGGCTCACCATCCGAGTTTAAATTTTAAAGTCGCTGCTGATAGACCTGCGGATACTGACAGTGCAACCTGCAGTTCACACTGAGATGCATTGCTGATCACTACTGGGGTGCATTGCTGATCACTACTGGGATGTATTGCTGATCACTACTGGGATGTATTGCTGATCACTACTGGGATGTATTGCTGATCACTACTGGGGTGCATTGCTGATCACTACTGGGATGTATTGCTGATCCCTACTGGGATGTATTGCTGATCACTACTGGGGTGCATTGCTGATCACTACTGGGATGTATTGCTGATCACTACTGGGGTGCATTGCTGATCACTACTGGACCTACTTGCTTCATGTACTGCTACTACAACTTACAGTACAAGTACACTGTGGTGCTGTGCTCGGATGCGAACACCAAATCGATTGATTGCGAAAATATTTTTAGTTGAAGATGGTCAAATAATTAGTCGTGCTTCGACGCCAATGCACAGTAGCACCCTTTGTGGCTGCACGAGGCGGGTGTGTAGGCTAAACATGCCTGACAGATCCTGCATTGTTTAGCCCATAATCCTTTGTGTACTGCTGTCATTTATCGGTGCTCAGATCACATGGGATTACTGAGGAGTTCTGCAAGAAGATCATGGACTTTGCTGACCTTCCAGAGGACCTAACTGCCCGGAACCTGATGCCTGACGCTGCTTGGAAACTGTTCCTCGGCTACAAGAGGTACTGCGACAGAGACTTTCTGGAGAAATTGTTCTTTCGCTTGGCTGTGGTGAAGTATGATGACAACTTTGATGCGTTCAGGTCAGTTGAGATGGAAGAGCAGAGGAGGTTCATGAAGGATTATGGCCGTGGACTTGACAATTCTTTCTGGGATGACAAGAGTGGCAGGTTTCGTGCTTCAAATGCACCCGTTGAGCATGACATGGATGCACTATTCGAAGGAGATCATGATACCACTGGATAGGCTGTGCACTGTATGGCACGCGCGCACGCACACACACACATGCACATGCGCGCATACACACGCACACACACCACACACCACACACACACACACTCTCTCTCTCTCTCTCTCTCTCTCTCTCTCTCTCTCTCTCTCTCTCTCTCTCTCTCTCTCTCTCTCTCTCTTCCTTTTTCTGTCTTATATATTTTTGTACCAACCTCTTCTTCATATATATTTTTAACCATGAAACTCATTTCATCGCTACCGCTTTGTTCATGTAGAGCGTGAACCGGCCGCTGTGTGTAATTTTTGGCGCTCTTCAAGATTATTATTTATTAACCCTTGAGCATTAAAAATGGTTTTTTCTTTGCTGCTGCTTATTTGACTAGCATGTGCATGCACTTGTTGTGACTTTGATTCCTGTGGCCTGATCCCCATTGCCACATCATCCGTTAACATAATTATCATAACACTAAAACATATTGTATATTCCCTGCCAGCATAGCACCCGGCGTGTGATGATGGTGAGCTTTACGTTGCTGCCTGAAGCGTGTCTCGTGCTCAGATGCATGAACATGTCAGCTGTTAAGTTATCAGCGGCGTGCAGCACACACTGCGGCGTGTTCTTTCCAGGAGTGCTGTTTGTCGCCGCGGTGGCGCAAGTCCAGTAGTGCCGCACTCTTTGCCTCTTTTTCCTTCTTTTAAAATTCTTTTTGATTTGCTGGAACTGTCCGAACACAGCTATTATCAGTAGGGTGGTGGAGTGTGTGTCTGTTGAATTGCCGAGGACCAATATGATGCAGTGAGCGTGCCCGTAGGCAACGTTATGTTTATTATTATTTTTTGATGTGAGTTTGTACGTTTGGGTTAGATGGCACAGTCCAGTTCAAGTATACAGCGTGTGTGTGTGTTTCAAAGGTCCAACCGTACATTGTGTTGCTGTGTACGCTTAGTCTAGCCCCTCGCCTTGGTGCATGTGCTCAGTGTATCTTGCCTTGGTGCATGCGCTCAGTGTATCTTGCCTTGGTGCATGTGCTCAGTGTATCTTGCCTTGGTGCATGCGCTCAGTGTATCTTGCCTTGGTGCATGTGCTCAGTGTATCTTGCCTTGGTGCATGTGCTCAGTGTATCTCGCCTTGGTGCATGTGCTCAGTGTATCTTGCCTTGGTGCATGTGCTCAGTGTATCTTGCCTTGGTGCATGTGCTCAGTCTATCTTGCCTTGGTGCATGTGCTCAGTGTATCTTGCCTTGGTGCATGTGCTCAGTGTATCTTGCCTTGGTGCATGTGCTCAGTCTATCTTGCCTTGGTGCATGTGCTCAGTGTATCTTGCCTTGGTGCATGTGCTCAGTGTATCTTGCCTTGGTGCATGTGCTCAGTCTATCTTGCCTTGGTGCATGTGCTCAGTGTATCTTGCCTTGGTGCATGTGCTCAGTGTATCTTGCCTTGGTGCATGTGCTCAGTCTATCTTGCCTTGGTGCATGTGCTCAGTGTATCTTGCCTTGGTGCATGCGCTCAGTGTATCTTGCCTTGGTGCATGTGCTCAGTGTATCTTGCCTTGGTGCATGTGCTCAGTGTATCTTGCCTTGGTGTTACAACAGTACATGTACATTGTATTGCACAGCTGGGTGCGCTCAGTTCAGCCGAAAGTTGCCTTGGTGTATCAGATTGCCATGCTTGCACTATTGACTGCCACAGCCTTTCTTCCCGGAGCTACATGACAATGTTCAAGCCAGTTTGTCCACTTGAAACCAAATGCCTAAGTACCCTCCCCCCCCCCCCCCCACACACACACACGCACACACACACACGCACACAGTGAAAACCAAAAACAAAGACAGTGCTGAGTACCAAAGGCAGAGTGGTGATACATACTATCAAGACCATAATCATAAAATCAGTGATTTACATGTACATGTACACTACTCCTACAAAAAAAGTACAGTTACTGATGATGTACAATTATTTATAATTATTGTGGTTTGTTGCATCCTGATGATGGCAATTTGCCGAAACGTTGAAAATGATTCTGTGAAATGAAATGAGTTGTGAATTTGCAGTGCCAAGGGAATGAGCATGTGTGCTCACCAATTCTCTTCGAGTTATGAAGCTGCAGGATGCCTCACCGCTACGTCGTTTGTAGCAGGGAGTCGTAAAATACCTTTACGACTCCCTGGTTTGTAGGTACGTGATTGTAATGAAGGTTGAGACGTCACAATTCGAAATTCCGGACGATTATTTCTGCAGTATACAACTAGTAGTGTAGGGGGCCATGTTAACGTTTAGATTGTTACCCATGTACATTGTACATGATTGTACAGTCAGACCTCGCATAACCGCACACATTATACTATCAAGTATCATGTTCGTACTCGGGAATTTACCTTGCCTTACTTGAGTTCGATGGGCCAGTCCCATATCGGTGAAGTACAGAAGGCGCTCCCTACTGTAGTATACTTCACACTCACAGGCTCAGCTACAGTCCTCTGACTCATTATTCATAATGCCACTCGACGATCAACCGGTTACCGTTGGCTCCGAAAGAAAGTAAGTTTCGAAGCAGAAGCTTGCTTCATCCATAGCATAGGCAAAGCCAAAGGTGTTCTTGCGCGATGAACTGCTGGAAAGGGATGCTAGAGTTGTCACTAGCGAGCTGCTAGCGCTTGCATGGAATGTCGTGAGAAATCTATGGCTTGGATCCCGAACCCGGTCGGTCATCAATCATCATGCTGCGAGCGCGCAAGAAAGTAAGATGCAAAGTGTGTGATAAGACCCTGAATTCTTTGGAACTATTCTATTTACACGTGCAAGGTGAGACGCACAAGCGTGCTGCGCGGCGCTGGAAAGCCAACAACGCTGCTGAGACACCTGCAGCCGGTCGTGAAGGTGCCGCTCTAGACGACAAAGGTGGCACCAATCCTGATTCCACAAGCACGAATATTGCCACTGGACTGCCACGATCAGGGAGTAGCAGTCAGTCGAAAGGGCCCAGTACTGCTGGCAGCGGAGGCAGTAGCGACAAGAGCTATTGGTGTGCTGTTTGTGAAAAGCAGCTCACTTCCAGCGACCAGCTCAAAGCCCACGAAGACGGCAAAGCCCACCTTCGAAAAGTTCAGCAGCAACGACAGCAACAAGCGACGAACAATGTCGACGCGTCAGAAGCGGGTACCAGTGCTGTGGGTGTCTCCGTCGGCCAAGGCCGGTGGAAGTGTACAGTGTGCAACGTTGATGCATCTTCTTACGACAACCTACAGGCACACCTGGCAGGCAAACAGCATCAGAAGAAAGCCAGCCAGGCTGCCACTTTAGCCGTTGGCGGCGTTGCAGCAGAGCGGCAAGGAGAGTTCTACTGCAGTGTGTGCAAGGTCGACAGTACATCACAGGTCAGCTATGAAATCCACTGCCAAGGCAAGAAGCACCAGCGCAGTGTGGAGAAAGCGAGTGCGGCGGCCACCGGCAGTGCAGACTGGGACTGCAAAGTCTGCAAGATCTCTTGTACCGGCCAGGCTGCCTACAAAGCGCACTGTGAGGGAAAGATGCACATCAAGAAGTGCCGCGATGCCGGTATTGAGCTACCGGCGTGTGTGCGGCGTAAAGAAGAAAGCAGATCGCACCCACCACTTGTTCTATCACCGAATGGGCAGAAAACGCCGGCGAAACTGATCTCAACCAAGCTACGCGACTACCAGCTAGAGTTGTACGAGCAAGCCATGCAGCATAACCGAGTGTTGTATCTACCCACCGGGATGGGCAAGACGAAGCTGGGCACGTGCGTTCTCAGTCACATGCTGCAGCTGAACCCCACGTACCAGGTGGTGTTCCTGGTCGACCGCGTTCTCCTGGTCGTGCAGCAGGCCAACGTGATCCGCTCGGAGCTGGCGGAGGTACGTCTGCCCGGCGACCGTGCGGTGAAGGTGGCTGCACTGTGCGGTGCCAAGGCAGACCTAGACGTTGATATGCCGGGCGGATCGGAGCGTGACCATCACATCATAGTTGCAACTGCCGGCTGCTATCAGAATCTACTGGTTCAGAAAGTTCTTTTCTGGACTGACGTGGCATGCCTGGTTATCGACGAGGTGCATCACTGTGGCAAACAGCATCCATTCCACGTCATCTTGAAGAAGAACTTCCTCAAAGACAACGCACACAAGCCACGTTTGGTTGGCTTGACAGCTTCTCCTGCTGGTAAACATGACGTGCCGACCACCATCCGCCAGTTGAATGGTCTGCTTAGTCGCATGGAGGCGAAGCTGGGCACAGTGGTCTCGGAGGAAAGTCGTCAGAGTTACAAAGCATTCCTGCGTCGTGCAGAGCTGCGCTGCGCAGTTGTGACACATGGCAGTAGGCACATTGACGAAACACAGATGGCCGAAGCTACGGTGAGAAAAGAAGATGAGAAAAAACCTGCCGCCGCTTCTTCAGCTTCCGTTTCGTCATCTGCTTCAGCAAGCGCTGCCCGCAAGCCCCCGGCGCCTGCTTGTGTTCTCAGCTCGGAAGAAGAGAAGTTTGAGCGCATGCTCACTTCCATTGAGCAGTATCTGGAAGAAGCCCTGCGGGCACATGCTGGCTGTGGTCGGTGTGGCAAAGACATGGCTGACCTCAGCCATCTCCTGTCTAGCCAGCAGGAGAACGTCAAGGACACGATGACGGCCGTGCAATCAATGACGTCTCGTCGCCTGTCTGACGATGCCACGGAACAGAGCTGCATCGTGCCCCTGCAGCACTTTCAGAGTGTAGCACGTAGCTGGCTGGAGCTGAAGCACCGCCGAGCCGTGGATGAGCTGCGCAAGCTGAACGACGCCAGCAATGCGTTTGGCTTCAACAAAGTATTCGCGAAGAAGTTGAAGAGTGAGACGTTCATTCAGGATTACCTGGAAGACGTATTTGCAACAGCCGCCGCCACTGCTGTGTCCAAGCTGACTCTATCTGACGAGGACCTGCACGAGGACGGGGCATCATTTGACGAAGATGACGTTGACGATTTCTCCTACGTGTGTGAAGAAGAAGAAGAGGAGGACTTCGATGACATCATCAGCATCGGATCTCTGTCAGATGGCGACGAGTATGATGACGACTATTTCGATGACAGCCCGGATGGTGAACCCGATGACGACGACGACTTCTTTCTCGATTATGGAGAATGTGCTGAGGCGGAGGAAGAGGAGCTGACTATGGAAGCCAAGCAGCAGATTGTTGACAAGGTCATAACGGAAATCCTGAAACTCCCCTGGCATGTGGGCACTGGTGATCGGCCCATTGCCCTGGTTCTTGTAGAGAGGCGTGAAGATGCAAGAGACATGGTTACGGCTCTCAATGACAGCCCGGCACTGCAGGCCAAGAGCATCCGCACGCTGCAAATCATCGGCCAGCGGGGCACGGCGCAGATGGAGGGCATGACGGTCAAGAAGCAGACAGAAGCGATGGTGTCGCTGCACCAGGGACGCTGCAACATCGCGGTGTGCACGAGCGTGGCTGAAGAAGGTCTTGACCTGCCATCGTGCAGTCTGGTGATTAAGACCAAGCTACCCACCACTCTGCCCTCGCTTGTTCAGTCATGGGGCAGGGCACGCGCTCACGGAGCCACGTTCTTCGTCATCTGCAAGAATGTCGTCGAACAGGAGAAAGTGGCCTCGTTGCTCGATCGTGAAAGGAACATGGAGAAAGCGGCACGTCAGCTAGCCGACCAAGGGCTGGTCGTGTGAGTGGATTAGCTGCTTTTTGACGCGCAGCTTGAGTGCCTGACAGAGCACAGCAGTAATAGTTTGGAAGTTGATTTGTTACACCGGTGATTATGCAGTATTGTAAACTAGATATTAGACTACTTTTACTTCCATTGTACATGCTGGTACTGTGGCAGGTGTACACGTGTAACTTAGTATATCAATACGATGTGCCGTGCCAGTGCAGATAGCAAAGGAGCTGCAATCTGTGATTCCCAGATACTACCGGGAGAGTTTTAATTTGCTGTGACGTTGCAGTCCCTGAACTGTAGCTAGGGACTTTATCACGAAAGGAAGCAGTGCCAAGAAAACGTTACCCCGGCCACAGTGGGGCTGTACTAGGGTGTCAGTTTGATACTTCAACACGACATGCATAACCTTTTGATCGCTAAAACAACACTCTCCTGTCTCGACATTTTTTTAGGATCATAGTCAACCAGCATCAGGGAGTCCTCAGACTCGTAGAAGACCGGTCTTTTACTCGGCTTTTATTTCCTATTGACCTCGTACTCAGTCAATATCGATTTGACCCTAACAGCTGAACCTATGGTCAAATCCTATAATCTGTCCCCGGGGGAAATCGCGGCATAATTTGCGGTAAATATTATTGATATGCGGCAAATTTGCAGTTGATATGAGGCAATTTTCAGTGAGTATGTAGTGAAATCAATCAGTTACAAGTCTCTGGTGTAAGCACTCGTCATATTTGAGTACAAAGCCGATGAGACGTTGCTGATTGAATAGTGCACTGTGTGTACGTGTAGTGCAACAGAAAAGTTCAAAAAACGCGGTCTTTTAACCCTTTAACCGTCAGACCATACATTTGTGGGTCGAATTCGACCCATCATTTGAAATACTCGCACTGGAATGATTTTTTACCCACGATAGAAAATTTACTATCGATTCGGTAGCGAATTTTCCAGGCTTTCTGTTGCAGAAATCCGCGTTGAGCTACGATGTAGTGGAGCAGAGTTATCAAGCGCTGAGTACTGCACGCTTGTCACTTCCGCTGCGCTGGGCGCGCGGCTGACGTCGTCACGGGATTTCCCCGTTTCTTCACGCGCTCTGTGACTGCTGCTCGCGACCAACGACTACGTATTCCTCACGAAATGCTCGATCTCTCAAAAAAATTTTGAACACTCTACGATGAAGGAGACGGCCATGGCGGAGTTTTGAACTTGTCATTTGCATGCCTGGCGTTGAGACGACGTCGCTGCGTTCCAGCGCTGGTTGTGTGACTGCTGAGGCGAAGAATGTGGTATCATCGTGCTGGTCTCGTCCAGAGCTTTCCAACGACCCCAAGATTATAAAAATCGAGTGAGTACAACTAAAGTTATGACCTGGCAAAGTTGAAATTTCGTTCGGCGTTTCAATGGGTGAAATTTATATGACGGTTTTAGGGTTTTACGTCGGGCCCTAGACGACGGCTACTTTGGCCAACCGGACAACGAAGAAGTTGTGACCAAAGAGAATGATTTTATTTCTTGCGCATGCGTATGTAGAATGACGTGATACTCAGGGAGAGAGGTCGCTACAGTACTCCCCCGCCAGTGGTGAGGTCGGGAGGAGCGAAGCACGATAAACAAGAAAGAGAAGAGAAAGGAAAGCGCAGCATGTACAAGGCGGAAAGGCAAAAATATAATAATATGATACATATGTACAAGCGAGAGCGCTGCGTGTGTGAAATTTGTTAAACAACGTGGCACAAATGCCGAAACAAAAATCAGAAAAGCAGGAAAGAGAGAGATGCATGACAGAGGCGGGTTAACGTGTCAGAGGTGTGTTAACGTGACAGAGGTGGAGAGCATGTCAGAGGCAGAAAGAAAGAAAAGAGGAAACGTACGCGTGACAGAGGAGTGTTATCGTGTCAGAGGCGGCTGCATGTTGCAGGCTTGGCGGGATACCAGCAGGAGCGCTGCACTGGGGCGAGGCGTGCCGACTGAGGCGGGGACAGATGGAGGCGAGCGCAGCTCCATGGGGTCCGGTGCCGGGCGTGTGCCTGCGTGCGTGCACAGTGAGTGAGCTGGTACGACGGGTGCTGGTTGGTGGAGTTGGCCAGGACGAATACGGACGACTGGACAATACCGTGGCAGGATAGCGGGGTATCCAGGTGGGCCGGGGAGGGTGGCAGGGGCCACAGCAGCTCCGAGGCGGATCCAGTGACGAGTGGTGGTGAGGCTCAAGTTTTACGTCAACAGCCGGCGATTGACGGGTTCCCGAGAGTTGAGGCGAGCAGGAAACTGCGGCGGGCCGAGCTCGGGGATGGCATGCTGAAAACTCCGAAGAGCGCAGCGTCAGGGGTCACCAATTTAGGGTTTTACGTCGGGCCCTAGACGACGGCTACTTTGGCCAACCGGACAACGAAGAAGTTGTGACCAAAGAGAATGATTTTATTTCTTGCGCATGCGTATGTAGAATGGCGTGATACTGTATAGCAGGAAATTTTCGGACGGAAATATTTTCGCACAAAGCCGATTTTCGACCTTTCGTACGGATTTTATTTTCGTACAGTGCTGCATGTTACATGCACGTGTTCGCATGTATAGTGTACATAACTTCACAGGGACAAATTTTAGAACGGAATTAATTAAAAGTGGCTGTGTACGAAATCGAACGAAAATAAATTCCGTCCGAAAATTTCCTGCTATACAGTACTCAGGGAGAGAGGTCGCTACACGGTTATAATAAAGGGTTAAAAAATTGCAAAAACGCGGAATTGCGATTTTCCCTGGGGACAGTATAATGCATGAGGATGAGTGGATTTATACATGCACACTCTGGTAACTGGTTGATGTACTTGTGCAAATTTTGGAAATGGCTTTGAAGACTTCTCAATGGCTGTCACTGTGAATTGTTTATTTGGCAGAACTCCGACATGTTGTGCAAAACTACTGAAGCTAGTCAACCTAGCAGTGTCATTTCCAGGAGCTACAACTAAATAAAAGGCGAAACTCCCCCAAAACAGACATGATCTTCCACTTGATCTTTCATGAATAAATGAAAAGCATACAGTAAAAAATTGCATGGCAGAGCAGGTTTTTAATTAATACAGGGAACGGAAGCGATCTATGGAGCATCAGCGGCAACAGCAGCAGCAAGGCAAATCCAGCACCCTACCAACAGTGGGAGTGTTGTGCACGCGCGCACGTGTGTGGCATGCAGCACACAAGTAGCCTAGGATGTTGTGTGTGATGATGAAGTTCTGACCAGTAGCAAAACGGAAAAAATGGGATATAGATACACATTACATGGGTAGAGTACTATTGTTGCGAACTCCCTGTGTGCCTGGGCCCGGGGTGCGCCAGGTTTTCAGATCCCTGTGCCTGGGGTGCGCCAGGTTTTCAAATCCCTGTGCCTGGGGTGTGCCAGGTTTTCAAATGGAGGGGCAGCAGCATCAACACGCCTTGTGCCTGCAAGCGGATGAATGCGGTATGGTAAAAAAAAAGAGCAAATCATCAAATCAAACAAATGTTCAGCACTATTTTCAACGGCTTGCAGCAGACAAGGAGGGACAACAAAGAAAGACAAGGAGGGACAACAAAGAAAGGTAGCAAACAGACAACGGAAAGTCGAAAACGCTATGTGCACTTGTGGTTTTCGTAACAGTAGCTGCGAAACCCCGGAGGAGATAGACTGCACCATAGAGTGGTGCATGGTGGCCAGATTACTCGGCAGCGCCCTCATCATCCTCCTCAATCTTTGGTGCCAAGTAGTACCTACAAGAGGGAGAAACGCACACACACAGTCACCAATCATTGAAGCACAAGCGATACAGAACCACTTTAACAGTACATGTACACAGCAACAGAGAGGTATCCGTTACACAGCCCGTCAACACGCCCGGATCAAAGTTCCGGCAGATGCAAACCGTAATACAATTTCGCCACTAGGCAAGTTCTACTTCAATGGTTGGCGCTGGCCCTATTGCACATGCTCCTCCGTAGCAAGCATCAATCAAGCACAAACAACAGAAGAGCCAGCCACTCTGGGAAAACAAACTCACCGGATATGTCCGAGCTCTCCGATTCTGTATTCAACGGCTGCAGTGCAGGTGGACAAACAGATCAATGAACGTTTGCAAGGTAAATTTGGTTAGGGAAAAATGCGGGTAGTTGAAGTGGGGAAATCCTTAGCGGCTCACAAAGCAACCTGATTTAGAGGATGGAGTCAGCGACCAGTCAAGTCAAAATGACACCATAGTGGATGATGCGAAAATACAACTTTCATTTGGTGAGTTTATCGAGAATACTCCTTTCACTACTTGCTACTGTATAAGTACAAAGTTTCGTTTGGAATTAACCTTCGCTATATTCGTTAGGGGCACGAAATAACTAAAGTTTTTGTTCTGAACGTTCGGGGTGACAGACCTCGACCAAAAACGAAATTTAGTACGTAACAAACCTGATGGTGGAGTGATCTAATGAAAGATTTCGTTAAACGAAAATTTGTACACAATCAATATCCTTGACTCAAGGCGCAAAAACCAACAAAAATCCATGCAACTTAAACGTCAAACTGTAAGCCGCCTAATATTCGCGACGTAGAAATGTTCGCGTTTTTCGCGATGACTATCATATCGCGAGTATGATATTGTCAGGTGCAAGTATTAGTACAATACATACTAGTGTCGTGGACATGGAAATCCAGTCGAGTGACCGGGGCCGGCGCCCTCAGTGCGTACAGAACGGTGCAGGCAGTGCACATGATGATCCAATGTGACCAGCGCGCTGCAGCGCATAAAAGAATCTACGCGTACAAGCTCGCTCGTACTCAAGGCTGCATGGCCAGCGCCCTGGAGCTGCTGGACGTGCGACCGGATTTCCATGCCCACGACGGTACATGTACAACGTAGCCGAAGTATGATACGGTCAGTCCCGGTACGGTCAGCTACTACATGTACGGGTAGTGCATGTTCTTGTTGCTGCTGTTGTTGTTCTTGTTGTTCCTGTTACGTTTTCTTACTCTTAGTACTCCCTTGTGCCATTGTTCCAGCAGATGTTGCAGGTGTCGCTGACCTGCACAGTTTGTACGAGTACTTGTAGATTTATGCAGTGCGTGTCTACAGCTGTATTTGAATGTGTGCGTAGTGCACAGTTTGTAGTTGTCCCCTGGGCCCTGTGCCTGTGATACGTGATTTGTAGTGCGTGTTAGCTTACACGTGGGAATGCTACACACTTTCATGTGACCTGCTTTACTTCCTTCTCACTGTACTTTCTTTTATGCATGTGTCGCTGGCATATGCGACACGGCCCGGGCCGGAGTGTGTATTGGTTTTGGAAGCATGTGCCTTTTTTGTCCTGTGAGTTGTTCGCATGCGCATGTTGCTCGCCGCGTGGTAATGTTTTTTTCGCTTCTTGTTGTGTTGGACCAGAGCTCTACATTCTAGCCGTGTGATTTTCCTATGTTCCATCGGTCTGAAGAATTGTGTTCTACTCCGGAGTGGAGTAAAACTGAACTGTGATTAGATTGTGTGCGGAAACCCGGTGTTGACGAAAGTGCGTTGAACTGGGCGCTGAGGAAAAGTAACAGTTCCGACGTACCTTGGTTGAGCTTGTCAGAGTTTGTTTGTGTCTTGTACTGGCGAAATGTCATCTCTTGTATCATGGTTGTCCAAAATACAGTCTGAGAGAAAGATGAGTGCAACGCCTAAGGGGTCGTCGCAAAAGTTTTCTGTCGTCCCTGAAACGAACATCGTTCATTTCGTACTCGGGCCCCCTCCCCTCCCTCTGAAACGAACACAGCTTGCTACGCTGGACGACGAAAATCGCATGCATGTACATGACATATGTACAGTGTCGGTCGACTTGCGATTTTGGCTCGTACCCCCTCCCCCCCAAATGAATCATGTTCGTTTCAGGGACGACAAAAAACTTTTGCGACGACCCCTAAGAGCGCCGATCCGCTATTGCCGAACCCCGCATTAGAAGCGATTCTGGAGAAGCGCGTTGAAGTTGCTCCAGCTGTTGCCAAAGAGATCAACTCATGGAAGCGCAAGGCTTACCACCATTACGATGAGCTGAAGTACAGGATAGGACGACATGCTGCTGAGAACGGAAATGAAAGTGCAGTTGTAAAATTTAGTAAGGAGCTCCAGTGTGCTATTTCTGAGAGCACGGCGCGCCAATTCAAGAAGTATTATGGTCGCATGAAGGAACTTGGCAATCCCAACAGCGGAACACCTCTCCCACGGATGCAGAGTGGTCGTCCTACTCTTCTCCGACCATCGCAGAGTGGTCGTCCTACTCTTCTCCGACCATCGCACAAAGAAGCACTGCAAGACTATATTTTGAAGCTTGGTGACAATGGAGGTGTTGCGAATCGGAACATGGCAATTAGTGCTGCCATGGATATCGTTGAGCACTATGACTACGGCGCAACACTGGACTTAGGAAAGGACTGGGTACAGTCCTTAAAGGGGAAGTTAAGGCAAAAATTAAAATTTCACCAGTTGTAGTCTTCGGGGGTGCTGAGTCGAATGGTCGTGGTCCGAGGAAGCTGAGACGCTCCCTTCCTACTTGAATCCCAATCGAACTCGCGCACTTCCACCGAAACTGGGTGACTGCGCCCTACTAGATGGAGATTTGTATGCAAAATGTCACTAAAAGCGCCATGTCGTTCTTATAAAAGCACGGATGACCGCGATTGGCCCATATGTTGTAGTCTTTTGGACGCCGAGTAGACTGGTTTTGGTCCGAAAATGCTGCGATGCAGCGTTCCTCCTTTATTCCCAATCGAACATGGCTGAACAAGCGGTCACGTGCTCCTGCGTACACCAGTCACCTGGTCACCGTGCGTGCAGGGTACAACTTACTAGCCTGTTTGACCTTTTTTGAGTGCAGTCCTGTCACTCGAGTTGAACCTTGGTGCGAAAGTTGTCGCCTGCTGGCGTGGTGACCAGGTGATTTGGGCACCCAGGAGCACGTGACCGCTTGTTCAAGCATGTTCGATTGGGAATAAAGGAGGAACGCTGCATCGCAGCCTTTTCGGACCAAAACCAGTCGACTCAGCGTCCAAAAGACTACAACATATGGGCCAATCGCGGTCATCCGTGCTTTTATAAGAACGAAATGGCGCTTTTAGTGACATTTTGCATACAAATCTCCATCTAGTAGGGCGCAGTCACCCAGTTTCGGTGGAAGTGCGCGAGTTCGATTGGGATTCAAATAGGAAGGGAGCGTCTCAGCTTTCTCGGACCAAGACCATTCGACTCAGCACCCCGAAGACTACAACTGGTGAAATTTTAATTTTTGCCTTAACTTCCCCTTTAATGGTTCGCTGCGGTCTAGTAAAGCGCAAGGCCACCAAGAGTGCCTATCCGCTATTGCCGAACCCCGCATTAGAAGCGACTCTGGAGAAGCTCGGCAAAGTTGCTGCTGTAAACAAACCGGTTGCTGCAACTGTTGCCAAAGAGCCCAATTCACGGAAGCGCAAGGCAGCCAGAAATTTGCCCGAGAATGTTGACGCTATAAAAGCCTGGATGCTGTCTCCAGCGCTTGTAGAGGAACACCACATTCCGGAGAGTTAGTGGTGAACTGGGACCAAACTGGATCATCCCTCGTGCCCAGCAGCAACCGGTCAATGGCCACTGCAGGCAGCGAGCAGGCGGAGGTGACTGGCTTAGGAGACAAGAGAGAGATCACTGTGCTCCTCTATTGCCACCCCAAGTCCTGTATGAAGGCAAGACTAACCGATGTCACCCTAGGCTGACCTTTGGACCAGTGCGCGCTCGCCATCTTCGACGTCATTGCAGCCCATCGAGTGGAGTCTCTGTCACATTGGGGTCGGCAGCTGACGGTTTCGAGCAGTAGGCTGTTTAAAGTACATAATTGTATGTATACACATGCAACAGAGGCGAAGCGCAGTGTAGCTGAAACTAGTATTTACCGCCTCTGCTGCGTGTGTATACTGCTCTGCACATTTGTGCATTGAGCACTCTACGCCGAGCTGCCTAGACCGGCCGTGTTTGATTGCATTGATAGAGAAGCCAGAAACTGTCCCTGTCTGTTGCTGCCAGCACTAGCATGCACGCAGAGAAAGACTTACAGAGGGGTATTGCCTTGGACATGGACAGGATGACCTGGTTCGATAGAGGTGTTGCCTACATGCACAAGCAAGCACAGCACGTGAGGGTACAGCACAGAGGAAAAGAGCTTCAGGCAGTGCATGTATACATAAACAATACCAAGCCTGCAGAACGTATGGCAAAGAGGCTACATTTCACACAGATGTATCGGCCGACATGAACAGCATTACTCTGACAATTGAGCACGCTATGAGAAAGCGTAGCTAATACCTTTGTGAAAAAGTTGAGGTACCGAAGGGCGAATGTCAGACTGACTGGCTCCTGCAGTTCGATTGTTACCTGAAGACGAAACGAAACAAACCAGCAAAACAGAGAACTTTGATCCATGTACTGCACATTTAACAGCTCGTCCCAGTCACCCGACAGGCCCTCACGTTCCATACCACTAGTGTCGCATAGAAAGTGAGCTACGCGTTACAAGACACAAGACAGCCCAAGAATAACTCCAAAGGGCTAATGCTCAGCTACAAAACAAGATACTTGGCATTAGAACGTACCTGCTCCTCCTCCTTGTCGACCGAGGCATTCTGTCGGAGAGTAATGTTACCACTCAGGTTGTCACCGCTGGCACCAAATCGAATACCATCCTTTGTGCATGCAATGGTCACTGCAAAAACAGTGTTGAGAAACGATAAGGATGGTTAACGGGAATACACTTACACACACAGCTCTAGCGCAGATTAAACCTAAACAGGTAGTGCTAGTAGCAATTCAACTGTGTCAGAGGGAAAGTGGCTCTGGACGGGATGAGACCAGCATGATACCTAGCAGTGATCCGCGAAAACACACACACCTGTGACCGTGGCACACGTCACAGATGATATGCAAACTGGCGCTGGCCAATGTGCAGATTCACAAACACCAGGTTCAACACACTGCAGCAAGCTCACACTTATACACTAGCACTTTGACTGGGTGGAGTCGAAAGATGGCAACATCACAACACAGTGGAACAAGGTGAGAGCAAGGGTAACATGTTACTAGTACATATATACTGCTACATTGTAAAAAACTACCACAAATTTGCGAGGAAATAGTTTGGCGATCAGCCTGCCATGTCCTAAAAGAATGCATGCACACCACTTGCTGTGCAGAACACAAACTTTAGATTGGGGAGTCATAACTTCAGCGAAAGCACCTAGCAGGACTCGTTAAAACGTCACCATCGTCCCCGAAATTAGCTGTTTTACAGCAACCAGTTACATGTGCACATGCGACTACCACACCAGGCAAGAACAAAATTTAAAGGTAATAGCCATTGTACAAAGGTATTCGTAACCGGTTTTTATCAAGAATTGAAGATACGGCGATGAAAACAATGAGCGTGGTGATGATTCGCAGGCAAGCTGATCATGGCGATATTCGTAAGCTGAGTTCAGACAACTTAGTCACAAAGTAGTGGCTGCGTGGGAGTGACAATACCAAGACGTAATACGCCCAATGAAACCCTGCAGCTAGACCATTCAAAATGACATGTGCTTGTAATGAAACCAAATTCAGATCAGATGACGACCGTCACACCTACGATTTCCAATCCATGAGAGTTTTTGGCTCAACAGTACCTATTGGCAATAGCTAACTTTTGCTCTCTCTCTTCCTTTTGAACACCGTACCTGACTCGCCGAACTGGCCAAGGTCACGGCAGATACGCTGGAACTCATGCGAGGGCATGTGTACGACAGCATCGTAGTCCGTATCCTGTGCAACAATTAACACCCCAACACAGAAAATATTACTATAAGGCCACCAATTCGTTGTTTCGGGTCACTTCACTCATCCGTACCAGGGTCGGTCGGTCGGGTTTATTTTCTATTTTATTTTGGTTATTGCCATGTATATGATTGTGCATACATGTACAATTGTATCGAATAGCTTTTGTCCATCAGGCCAGTCGATCAAATCATGACTGTAGACGATCCAGCACAGCCATTGTCCCATCAGACCCAGGTCCCCTCCAGGACCAGACCTTGGCCTCGCTGGAAAACGAGTCTGAGGAGCAGTTCTCACCTTGAAACGTCTGTCAAAGAGCGACGCGGTGGCGGAGCTGATGCTGTTTCAGGACCGATTGCGGATCGGAAGACAACATCGTCACCAAGCGCTTCATCCTGTTATTTTATTTGGCTGCTTCTGAGGTCGATGGCTGGACTGCTATTATTAGGCGGGTGTGTACATATGTACGTACATAATCTAGTCATGTACATTTGCATGCACTATTAAAAAAAATTGCGGTCGGGTGAAAAAAGACGGTCGGTCGGGTGACCCGAAACGACGAATTAATTCTGGGCGGCCTAACAAGGAAACCCAGCTAAAGCAATACGAGCTTAACAAGGAGAAACGTGTGCACAATCACAGGAAACAAGGTGAACCAGTAGTGCATGTGTAGCACACCCCACCGGGCCAAACCCGGAGAAACCCAGAACACACTGAGCCCTCTCTGATCCGAGCACCTATCAGTAACCCGTGGGTAGCATTTTGCTACTACTACGTGGCACCCTAAGTGTGCACAACATACTACGTTGACAGTGGCCTTTAGCAGGATGTATCGCAACCTCTCGCTTCCCAGGTGGCCGGACAAGAGAGGGCCGAGTGTCACTGGCATTCCTTGTTTTGGTTGAGCTATATGTCAAGCAAAACAGCCCTTTGCTGATGTGAAGTTGAATCAAGAGAACCGCTGTTGCTTACGGGAATGCCGAGGTGCTCCATGTCGATGTTCATCAGCTTCATCTCGTAATCGGCAACCTTCTCTTGGTCTGCACGAGAGAACAACAATACAGCCACCAGCCCATTCATTGCAAAATAAATAATAAACAAGAAGATGACTTTGGTCCCATTCCATTTCGGATCACACAAATACACTGCCCACACTGTCATGGTCTGTGGTGCAGCACGCAGAGTTGTTAGATATTAGAAAACATATTAGGATAAGCAATTTTCTCCAGAACGACAATGCTGTTATACTAAGGCCGGGCGTCGGCTTACCGGAAACTGGTGAATGCCACACCGTGCAGCCAGTGTAACTGTGTGTTTATGTTTTAGGGCCAGAAACCAGATCACTCCCTCTGACGCCAGAACACTAAGTGCTTTCGTGAGTTTCATTATTAACATGCAAGGCCATGCAAGGCCACACGTTTTTATTTCTATGTTTCCCGAAAATCTAAAATCGTATGTGAGAGGTGAAAAAATAAATAATGACCAAAAAATAAAAAAGTGGCGTTGGTCATACCAAGAGTCCATAAACTGTTTATGCACTCTTGGTCATACTAAAATCAACCAACACACGGTGTAAAATAGCATCCAAGTTAGCAACTACAACATGTAGTACTATACATGGTAGGAGCTTCTATGCACGTGCAGCTAGATTGCGCAACAAAAACTGGGTGCAGCGACCTCGCATCATGTGTCGCGCAGGCCAGGCCAGGGCGCACATGTGCATGTGCTGGTCCCGACATGTGGTGCAGCGGGTTTTTTTTCTTCTTTTTCTTTTCCAGACTGCTGAATCGTATGCACGCGGGTGACGAGAAACATAGAAGTAAAAACGTGCGGCCTAATCATTGATTCACAGCTTGATATTGCACGAATAAAGTTTCCCTGTCGATTCAGCGCGTCCTATTGATTGCGGTTATACTGCGGTTGTCTCCTCGCCGTAGGTTTTTAATAATTGAAGGAGCATTATATTCACACCCTTGCCATGAAAGTCAGAAAAATTGAACTTACCATACAAGGCATTATTTTTAATTGACAGATGCTCAAACCTCCATGCAAATAACATTGACTTTCCTTTCGAAAATTTGCCCCTAACTACTGACGTATGGACGCACAGGCATTTACGCCTCAACTTACTGGGGCTCTCGAAAGTGACATTGAGAGCATCAGCACTGTCCTCTGATCTCAGAGTGATGATGTCTTCATTGCCAATGCACTTCAGGATCTTGGACATGCTGCAAAAACATTGGCACGACCACGGATGAAAAAACAAGCTACCTGTTTCAAATTTCTCCATTGGAGACAGTCGACAGTCTGCACGGCTGAACTTACAAGGAGAAGTTCACGCCAAGTGTAAGGTTCCTGTCACAGCGGTACGGGTCGAAGCCCTCCGCTCTGAGGTTTACGTCCACTAAACTGACATGGCTGCTGTCCATAGCTTGAAGAGAGATGCCTGTGCTTGAGCAATCCAAGTTGCCCTCCGTCACAAGATCTTTGAAGCTTTCAAGAAGCTTCTTTAGGATAAGTCCTTGGACAAGTCTGGCCTCAAACATGATTGCAGTTCGGTATAGTAAGGAAGGATAAATAAGAAAAGTTGGCTCACTGGGAAATGTTCACTTTGACTTCGCCACAAGCAACAAGATCGAGAGCTTGCTACGGGAACGGCTGAACATCAACAACTCAAAAAGACGATTATCGATGAAGGAGCGAACGGCGCGAAACCTCCACGCTTTTATCTTTCCCGCCAAATATCCTGCTTTCGGTCGATACCGATCATGATTGGGTTTGTTTGCGATCGCCGCCGCGCGGCCCGCGCGCCGCAGCCGGGCGCGGGACATATGCGATATGCATAAAAATGGTGCAACGACGTCATACGTGAAGATCTACCATGTACCAGGAGGGATTTACGTCATGTTCAGAAGATTTGGTATGACCTTGTTCACTGTGTGTGTTAGTTGTTGTGAATGTTGTCTTTCTTCTTCTATTCACGTCGAGATTTTGTTTTGATTTTAGTGTTCTCGCGTGCCAACTCATATCATAATACTGAACTGCATGCTTGGTAATACTCCAGCTAGCTAGGCGAAAATAATCTTGCTCAGTTTCTCGTAACAAACTACAATTTTTTGAGATCCTATTCGGACCAGAACTTCCCAATCTTTCCTGAAAGGCTCATTATCAACCCCAGCTTCTGTTGCTTGACCAGGAGAGGAGAAGACTCCGAAGAGTACAGCAATCTTTAAACTGTCTTACGTCACCTATGTTGGGATCCTTTCAGGCGTGCTAGAACAGCTGTTCGTGTCCTCTAGCCGCTGCAGCTGAACATCTCTCTTTGAAATTTTATTGTCGTATTCCTGCGAAGATGCCTCCGAAGTTCAAGCGTCACATGGATCACGAGCAGAGGGTTCACTTGATGGGAGACACGAACGATAGTGATGGCGATGACGTTGTGTATCATCAGCGTGATGCAAAAGGCTCTACTAAATCCGGGGACAAGCTAACCAGAGTGCAGGATCAGGTGGCTGATGTGGTGGGTGTCATGCAAGCTAATATTGGCAAAGTGCTGGACAGAGGAGATCGACTGGAGGATTTGCAGGACAAAACTGACGACTTGGCTGCTGGGGCGCTCACATTTCACAAGAGTGCCAGCAAGCTGCAACAGAAAATGTGGTGGAGAAACATGAAGATGAGATTGTGCTTTGTTCTCATCATCCTCATTATCATAGCATTCATTGCAATACCCATCATAGTTACACAAAAGAAGTCAAGTAAGCCATGAACGCTGACACATCAACATCACTTTGCGCTTCTCGCCTCTCGACTGCACATGCTGGCGTGTGCTTGGTTATGTTTGCCAAGTTTTTAGCAAACGTAAGTTCTATTCTCTGTTGCCAAAGTTGTTGATTCTTTACCGGTATGGCTGCTTTTCCGTTTCGGCTCTTTTTTTAATAATACATAAGACTCGTTCTACAATTTCGTCATGCACCTTGGCTGGTTTCGCGTGCATGGTTGTGTTGTTATAATTATGACTATTAATTATGTAGATATACTACGGTGCTTGAATGCGTTCTTTGAGATCCGTTTCCCGGAATCAAACCATGACTGCTTGTGTTCGCATCTACTTGAGTACACACTAGCTCATATTGTACATTCTTCATGTGATTGATACTTTGAAGTACCTTCTTTTTTTAAACGTGTGCTTTCATGTCGGGGTGTACAGCATGGCCGGTACTGTAGAGGCAGAACATTTCGTCGGTCAATAATTTCGTCCAACTCCAAAGAAAAGGAGTTCGTCCGGTTGAAAATTTCGTCCATAGATCATAAGAGTGTATAGAAACGCTGGACAAATCAATATTCGTCCTACATTTAATTTAGTCCAAAAGCTCCTTGGACGAAAAAGACGAAATTAAATTCCAGACGAATATTTCTGCTTGTACAGTATCTCGTTGAGCTGCTAGGAGTGTAAAAGCGTGTATCGTACCTCAGTATTAAACCTGGTATAATGTTGTTCTGTACGAGGTACTCTTGGTATCACTTACTGCTGGACAATGGAACAAGTATATATGTTTTTTAAGTAACGTTTTCAAGACTACACTAGCATTGTTTGTTTAGGTACGCAGTAGGCACGTTTGTGTCTTCACCTTCGCCGGTGCATGAGGCTGCAGTTTAATCTATGCCAGTTCCTGTCTCTTACTCTGTATGGTAGGATCAAGGAGTACAGAAATAGCGCTGCATTCATGATTGGTGCTGTGCAGCCCCAGACGTGTGTGAACACTGGCCTGTGCACTGTACAGGCTGCTTTCTGACTTGTTCTTGATATCAACTTATCCAGGGTTTTTTATTGAGCACACTTGTATATGTAGAAAAGAAAGAGGAGAATTTCCCCCGACACAAAGGCCACCTTGGCCTAGGGTGCTTACATGCGTTTCCCTAACTGCTTGGAAAAGGCAATGCCATCTGTGCACTTGTACAAAGTACAGTCTTATTGTACCAGTTCAAACGCCCAACAAGCAAGCTAGCAGCAGTGGAATTCGCATTTACTGGTATATTGAAGAATACTATTAAAAAATTCAAGTACATCTTAGAAATATATTTAACATGTTTTGCTGTGAGTGGATATGAAGGCTGATCACACACACACACACCATTGGACCATTGGACGCCCATCGTCGAAGGCGATGATGGCGATGCTACAGCAGAAGCCATAGCAGCTTGTGCTGGGATTGCACCATTCAACAACTTGCAAGGCTGAAGAATTGACCGCCAATATTCAGCCTGGTCTACACCACACAGCTATGAAGTGGCTTTTTCTGGCCAGTGAATCCACACACACACACACACACACAAGCAGGCGTGCAGGACGTCATTACGGTCTGCCTGAATCCATGAGATACACGAGTGAAGCTAACATACACAGTCCTCAGTGCTTGTACGTTTCCGTCGGGGTTGACCTAGATTGAGCAGAGCATATTGGCATCGCAGGTTAACCTTGATGCCAATATGCTCTGCTCAATCTACTGTCAACCCCGACGGAAACGTACAAGCACTGAGGACTGTGTATGTTAGCTTCACTCGTGTGGGGGTTGACAATTGCGCACAGAAGTCCACCTCTGCTGCATGCGGAACCATCTTCCGTAGATGTCACACACACACACACACACACACACACACACACACACACACACACACACACACACACACACACACACCTCAGACCTGCCCATCGCGGAAGCGATGATAGCGAACATCTATGTTAGACATAGCAACTTGTGCTGGGATTACACCATTCAGCAGCTTGCAAGGCTGATGAATTGACTGCTACTAATTTGAGCCACACACGCACACACACACACACACAACACACACACACACACCTTTTGACCTTTTGACGCCCATCGCCGGAGGCGATGATAGCAATGCTACGGCAGAAGCCATAGCAACTTGTGCTGGGATTACACCATTCAACAGCTTGCAAGGCTGAAGAATTGACCGTCACTATTCAGCCTGGTCTACACCATACAGCTATTTGGAGTGACATTTTCTGGCCAGTGAATCCCTATTTTTGGTCTTTTCATTTTTTTTTCCCCCGCACACACATCACACCACATACTCCGGCATGCACTGGCTGTTGGTAACCACCCAGGAGAATGAAAGAAAAGTCAGGAAGAGTCTGAGAAAGAGAAGAAAGACGTGTGTGACCATAATCGTCGGGAATCGAACCCGCAATCTATCGATTGGAAATCGCTGCACATACCACTGCACCATATGGGACACACACACACACACACACACACACACACACACACACACACACACACACACACACACACACACACACACACACACACACACTTACTTGTACTTGTACTTGTTGCTCACTGCCAAAACTGGTCACGTGGGTCTCCCCGGGAGAGGGGAGAGAGACTCAAAAGGAATCTTGGAAAGATCACTCAACTGGCTATTGAACCGCCCAACGGCTGACACCCCCTGTAGTCCCCAAAACTCTGGGTGGACTTGAAAATGATCCCACTTATGGGCTCACCACACCTCAGTAAGTGGGTGAGGACAAGGTGCAGAAAAAGGATCGACGGCATCAGGGTATCCGTCCTGGGATCCAACTGCAGTTACCCCTGCCCCCAGTGAAGAACCTGCCCCCAGTGAAGGTAATACTTGCTACTAGTGTGGGTGGCTAAATCAGAGTGGATCTGATCTAAGCGTCACTAGCACCATTGATTACACAAGAGTTAATCTAGCCAGAAGCAGTCCATGGTTAACAGGTATGTATACTTCAAATAGAAAGTATAAGAACTCTGAAACCAACAAAGGTGGCAGATACAACAATACACCTTCAAGCAGCCGAGCCTGTTGGCAACGGACCCAACACAATCAGGCCTAAGTGTACCCACCAACCGAACTAGCTGGCACACACACACACACACACACACACACACACACACACACACACACACACACACACACACACACACACACACACACACACACACACACACACACACACACACACACACACACACACACACACACACACACACACACACACACACACACACACACACACACACACACACACACACACACACACACACACACACACACACACACACACACACACACACACACACACACACACACACACACACACACACACACACACACACACACACACACACACACACACACACACACACACACACACACACACACACACACACACACACACACACACACACACACACACACACACACACACACACACACACACACACACACACACACACACACACACACACAAGCATGCACATACAACAACAGCACGGGTGAGTTTTAAAACAGGCATATGATTCCCACAATAATGTTAACAGCAAAATGCTTGGCTTCATGGTTGGTATGTTTTTTTCGTGACAGGCTAATAGAAAATAATACAAAACCAGCTGTAATATAAAAAAGCGACATTGGAAGAATGTACATGGTGCAGGATCAAGGTGTGCATAAAGGCCGGGTCCCACGGCATACATGATATAAAACAAGACACAAACAGGCAGGGCATGGCAATACTTGTAGATACACAACAACACAGCACAATAACTTAGCAAACAGGAAGTAGGTACAGCAGCAAAGACCCGCGAACAAGCCGGAATATCGGCACAGAATAGGATCAATACTGGCAGCATGTAGCGAGATGCTGTTGGAAAAGATATGGTCTGAGGGGGAGAAATTGTGCTGTCACGGACAACAACAACAACAACAACAAGAGAAGTTCAGGAAGCAAGTGGCTAAATTGTGCAGATTTGGAATAAGACCCAAATACAACTTTGTACAGGTACTTCTGATCTTGAATATGCATGTACTTGTAGTATAGCATAACAACATCTAAAGAAGGTGACCGCAGGAGTTCAAACATCGCAATGAAACTATTCAGACATATCTATATACAACAAGAAGAGAGTCGTCCAATTCAATCCAAACGAAAAACAAACAAACAGAGACGGATGTAACAGCAGAGATATAAACTGCAACCGGAGTGATATCTCTGCCAGAAATACTATTACAATTGTAGTGATGATGGTGCTCCAGCTCTCGCTGCTGCTGCTGCTGTCCTAGAATAAATAAACTTCTCTGGTGAAATTGGCTAGTCTTGCGCGGCGGCGGCGGGCTACTGCAAGCTCAGGAGACCGGCTCCGTGATGGGCTCATCCTTGAGCTTGGCAAACTCGATCTTGAGCTGGGCCAAGTGCCGGCGTGCGCTCTCTATGTGCGAGGAGCTGTAGGAATGCATGCGCTTCTTTTTCTGCGTAGCATCCGCAATCCACTGCTCGCACTCGGCGAGGATCTCATTTTGCTTCAGGAAGAAGTGACGCCGTATCACCTGCACACATCAAGGCAACGGGTGCAATACGCATCAATACAGTTTCACATTGCCCTTCATCGAACGAAAGATCTATCATACACAGGCTGGAATTTTCAACACGTTTGAAAAGAAGAGAAGTAGTACTAGAGAGGAGATTGAGAAGTAATACTACGCGTAGATCTACGCACTGCAAAAATGGCAGCGTCAGCATTGAGCATTGGCCACGATTTTTTCTTTCTTTTTCGATTTCTGCCAATTCCCATGATCGTTCGATTATTCGTTCAACCCACGAATATTCTAAATTAATTGATTATTCGATTATTCCTTTCAACACTATCAAAAAATCCTTCATAACTACACTGAACATGCATCCAAGACGATAAAACCCACTTTTCAACAGCTAGCAGGCAAGATTAGTTGTATATCACCACCACATCATTAGAGGGAGTCTCACCTAGAAAACAAAAAAACTTGAATTACAGCCAAAAAGACAGAACTCTTGCTAGATTAAGATTCTTTGACGATCTACCGCGCGCCATTGTATAAGCGTTGGGAAATCAGGCAAGTCATCTGGTCACATGCTGGGAGTGAAAGGTTAGCAATGGCTTTCGCGCGGATAGGGGTGCCTGTGTTCTTGTGATCAGTCATCACACTTACATCTTTGAAAGCAGCAGGTGTCTTGCGAAGCTGCTCCAGCATTGCCCACTTCATCGTTGCCTGCTTGATGTTGGCATTGTACTCTAAAGACGCTTGGTCACCCAGGGCAGTGTTGCGTGACCGTTCGTACCCAGGCTCGTTGAAGTACGGCTCTGGGACGAGGATGAGAGACTGGATTGAGACAAGAACCTAAAGGACAGCAAAAAAAAGAAAAAAAAAAGGAGCCAGCGGATTCAGGAGAGATTGGACAAAACACGCATACTTCTTAGTACCGTAAAATCCCGCCAGAGCGCCCCGTCTCTCCCATCCGCCCTCCCTGACTTCTTGTCAGGGACGTGATTGATTGTATCCTCGTATGACTCTGTCACAGTCTGTGATGCCGTACTGTACTGCAGACGCATGCTCGACCCAGTTGGAAATGTACGCAACAGTGCCCACCCTCTTGACCAGGGATCGCACAAACCCTGAGTTTCGACGGGTCTGTACGACTCCTGGCTCTTGACCCTTGGTCGGTGTACGAGATGCATGAACAGTTTTCGTAGCGTGAGTACCTTTTCATGTAGTACTGAACGCGGCAAGTAGGACTCACCCATCCGCCGCTCCCCACCCGAAGCGTCGAGGAGGTAGGGGCGCTCTGGCGGGATTTTACGGTACAAGTAGACCAGGCGCATAAACAGGAAGGTTACGAGTTATGACTAACTGTCCACCAACGTAACCAGATCTTATACAGTCAGCGAGTGCGACAACATGGTTTGTCCTCCTTTTTTCACCATAATTTAATTGGCTCACCATCCGAGATAAACAGGAATGTAGGACATAATGCACATTTAAACAAACGGCGAGGAGACAATAATTTGATAACCGCAATCAATAAGACAAGTTGAATCAACACCTGTGTATACTTTATTCAGACAATGTAGATGAAGGTTGAACGAACACTTGTTTGAATCCTAAATTGTTTTTCTCTCCACCATTTCTTCCTATTCTCATCGTTTTATTGCACATTGTCTCCACCGTTTTACATTGCATGAATAAAGTATACACAAATGTCGAATGAGCTTGTCTTATCGATTGCGGTAATGCACATTTGCAGTGTTTTAGAGCCTCACCACACCCATTTTGCCGGACGAAACTGGCCAGGGACAGCAAACGTACCTTCGGGTAAGACTTACTTTGGCCCTAAAACAAAGAAAAAAAACTATGTAACCTGATGTTCAATTGTTCATGGCACACGCACCTCATGTGCGACGAAAATCAAACAACACAATTTTATTTCTTCAAAGTATTTTTTTCTCACCTCAAGGCACGTTTCTGCTGTTCCTTCCTCCCTAACCCAGATTTGTGTGGATGGCACCATGATGGCATGTACACAGTGTCGATGCAAGTCCACACATGTACACACGTCGCACACCACACAGCACGCCCCCCCCCCCCCCCCCATACCTCAGACGGCATCCCCCCCCCCCCACCCACCCACACACTGTACCTGTAGTAGAGATGATGTCTGTGCATTCCATTTTTCCTCGGGTCGGCCATGCCACGTATTCAGAACACTGAGGCACACCTGCAGTTCAATATACCATGTAGTACATGTACGCACACAGTTGACAACACACATTGGACGCCCGTACATTACAGTACAAAGCAAAAGTACACAGTTCAGAGTATTATTATTATTTTGCTTGTTCACGTTGGCATCAACCTGCATAAAGCAGGTATATAGCCTTCGCTTAAGCTGCCATAAAAAAAAGAAAGATCATCCTAAGCGAGAGGGCTAGAGGAAAAGATAACGGTAACGAGATACAGAATACAAAGAAATACAATGAGTTCAGAGTAGCATTATCAAAAAATCAAATTCAAACTGCACGAGAGAGGAAGCGTTAGGATTTTGTTGGAAAGACTTGATTGCAGAATTCTTGCAACATTGCATTTTGGCCTCCTGCGCACACCAATCGCATTGCTGCGATTTGCTGACCGAGCTGATCAAGCCGACTCTTGGCTTTTATTTAAAATAGACAAGCGCATCATAGGCCACATGTCATAGTAAGAGAACATAAGCCCCAAGAGTGTGCGTGCAACTCCGCTACGGGTGCTGTCCAGGCAGACTTTCAAGTTGGCATGATTTTTGTGATGCAGTGCACATTGCACGGTATTATCAGACAACACATGTGATGTGTTGTTACACCCTGTACGGTGTTGTAAATCACTCGTGCCAGGAGCTTCGCATTATAAACATGACGTCAACTTGAAATTCTGTCGGGACAGCACTGTATGCGAGAGTTGCACACTGTTGGAGGTTAGGCAATCTTGGTGAAACTATAAAACCTGTCAACACCATCCGAAACTACAGTACGATACAGAAGTAAACAGAATTCATGCAAGCATACATACACTCTAACACACGCATGCACAATAATACACACACACACACACACACACACACACACACACACACACACACACACACACACACACAAGCATGCACACACACACACACGCACGCACGCACGCACGCACGCACGCACGCACGCACGCACACACACACACACACACACACACAAGCACGCATGCATGCATGCACACACACACACACACACACACACACACACACACATGTATGTACCGGCACACAGTCAGACACGATACCTTTCCATCATTGTAGAGGTTGGGATTGAAGCGAACGGTCTGGTTGCCAGTTGTTGCCAGGTTGACCTTCATGGGCTTCTGCGGATAGTCTCCTGGGAAGAAGACGTCAAACTCAAAGCAGCCACCAAAGTACGGTGTGTCCTCTGGTCCAGTAATCAGCACCTACGAAACAAGAACACACACGCACGCACACACGCACGCACACACGCACACACACGCACGCACACACACACACACACACACACACACACACACACACCACCACCACGCACGCACGCACGCACGCACGCACACACACACACACAAACTGGTTTGGACTCACAGTCATACATCACAAGTTTATCAATTGAGCTCCCAGTGTTACAAGTCTCATAGGTTGCACAGTCTATTTCCACTCTCTTCCATTCTACATGACTGTATTTGCACTCTAGTTCCACTGTAGTCGCATTCTCTGTCTCTGTCTCAAGGATTACCAAGCAATGTAATATACAGCAGCATGTAGGACAAGGTGGCCCACACAAGCCCACACACCTTCATAACGTCTAGGCGGTCTTCATCGCAGCGAACAAACACCGTTGATCCGGAGGAGAGTGGCAGGGATGTAGCCAGTGTGGACATCTCCTGTGCGAGGCGCTGTGCGCGAGATGCTGCTGCCAGAGAGGACACTGGGTCAAACAGTTGCTGCTTGTAGCCGTACTCAACAACACAGTGTGGCACTCCTTCAGCATCCTCCTCCACCATAGCATGGGTACCTGCATTCGACAGAACACCAAGAGCACTATTAGCAGCGGCGGTGGTGGTGGCAATAGTAGCCACGGCAGCAGCTATGTTAGCAGAAGCGACGGTGGTAGCAGCCACAGCAGCAGTAAAAGCAACACAATCAAACTATTCAGCAGGAGTAAAAGCAGCACATATTATTTCCAAGAGTTATAGCTTCTCATCAAGATAAAAAAGTCATATTCACTTGTCAACGGGTAGGGGTTTGGCTGGGTAACGAGTCTAGGTATTTCTATCCGGGTAGCACGGGTACCCTATTGGGTATTTTTTGACTTTGTTTATACAGCGAGTGGGCACTTGTGCCACATAGAAAGTGTACAGTAAGCACGTGGCCGTGCTCCTTACATGCACCGTTGTGAAACACCGCACTCAAACTACCCGATCGAATTCTCAGGAGCAAACTGCTACGCGAATACTCCAATTACGGGTAGCACGGGTACCCTACTACCTGATGACACGCCTAATTGTAACAACTGTATTACATTGTACCTCTCATTTCGGTTGCAACGCTGTCCCACAATACACTGATGCTGATTGTAAGATATGCTTGAAAGGAAACAGTTTTTCCTCGCAAGACAGCGAACAACTATATAATTACCATCATGAGTACATAACCCCAGAGGTTATGTACTCTTTTTATCATGCAACATTATTATGAGGTCACATAAAGGGTTAAACACAGCAAACCTGCTCAGCTGCACAGTTGCAGTTGAGAGTCTGCAAGATTGGAGGAGGGGGAGGCAGCAGCGAGTAACAAGTAACGTACCAAACTGCATGAGTTTCATCTGTGACACGTAGTACTCATTCTCGTCAGAAGTAGACACTGCGCCAGTTGCTGTGGCTCCTGTAGTACTTCCGTCTAGACCGTCTGTACTACTACTGTCACATCTACACACACACACACACATACACACACACACACACACACACGCACACGCACGCAGACGAACACACGCACACACACACACATGCATGTACACACATACACATACACACACAGACGCAGACACAGACACACGGCACACACACACAGACACCGACACACACAGACACCGACACACCCACACCGACACACACACACACACACACCACACACACACACACGCACACACCCATGCATGTACACACATACACATACACACACAGACGCAGACACAGACACACACAGACACCGACACACACAGACACCGTACTTGTACTTGCTCACTGCCAAAACTGGTCACGTGGGTCTCCCCGGGAGAGGGGAGAGAGACTCAAAAGGAATCTTGGAAAGATGACTCAATTGGCCATTGAACCACCCAACGGCCGACACCCCCTGAAATCCCCAAACTTTTAGGGTGGATTTGAAATGATCCCACTTATGGGCTCATCACACCTCAGTAAGTGGGTGAGGACAAGGTGCGGAAAAAGGATCGACGGCATCAGGGTATCCGTCCCGGAATCCAACTGCAGGTACCCCCTGCCCCCAGTGAAGGTAATACTTGGTACTAGTGTGGGTGGCTAAATCAGAGTGGATCTGATACAAGCTTCACTAGCACCATTGATTACACAAGAGTTAATCTAGCCAGAAGCAGTCCATGGTTAACAGGTATGTATACTTCAAATAGAAAGTATATGAACCCTGAAACCAACAAAGGTGGTAGGTACAACAATACACCTTCAAGCAGCCAAGCCCTTTGGCAACAGGCCCAACACTATCTGGCATAAGTGTACCCACCAACCGAACTAGCTGGCACACAGACACCGACACACACACACACCGACACACACACACACACACACACACACACACACACACACACACACACACACACACACACACACACACACACACACACCAGGACGCATATGATTACACAGGGACAAACAGCAGTCTGCACATCATGCAAGACAGCCTACAGCAGGTGGCAAGGTAGAGGACACACGGCAGAGGATAGTCTCTTATGGCATGTACAACCACATTCGTAAGGGTATAACACTACACATGTGTGCATGTGTGTATGGATGTCCGGGTGGGTGAGTATTCTGGGATGTAACAAACCTACCATAAACATGTATTTGTAGTACTACAAGAGCATGTGCGGCGCAACACATTACTTACACACACACACACACACACACACACACACACACACACACACACACACACACACACACACACACACACACACACCAGGACGCATATGATTACACAGGGACAAACAGCAGTCTGCACATCATGCAAGACAGCCTACAGCAGGTGGCAAGGTAGAGGACACACGGCAGAGGATAGTCTCTTATGGCATGTACAACCACATTCGTAAGGGTATAACACTACACATGTGTGCATGTGTGTATGGATGTCCGGGTGGGTGAGTATTCTGGGATGTAACAAACCTACCATAAACATGTATTTGTAGTACTACAAGAGCATGTGCGGCGCAACACATTACTTACGAAGACTGCTGTCGTCTTCTCAGCGCATCATTGACGATCTGATGGGTGGTATAGACATCTTCCACCAGCGCTGCAATGCCTTCGTTACTTGCCTCTGCCAGGCCGGGAGCATTTCTAGATGATGACGTCGGTGCTGCTGAAGATGCCTCACCCTTCGACTTGAGTGAGCTTTTCCCGGGCTTCTGTTTCCTGTGACCAGAGGACAAGCAACCAGGGATTGGTGTAATGTGTTTACAGCTTTACACCATCTCTCCATCGCCACACATTGTTCTTTGCTTCTCCCGGAGACCAGCTATCTGCCACCTGCACTGCACTGTTATTCAGGTGTACAGCTAAACTGATAGACAAGTTGCCGACAAAACCCGTGGGAAAACACCCTGTGCCACTACTCGCTGCAACTGCAACCGGTAACAAAATATGTTACTGGTAGATAATATAGAGACCAAAACACCATGTTTTTTTTTGCTACAGAAAAATGTTAGAAATGCCCAAAGTTATCACCTGATTCTCAAGGTACGTACCCGAGGCACAATGTGTATGTCTCCAAGCAATTCTTCATCTTTGTGAGCAGTGCCATCACACTGTCTCCACTGGGATGGGACTCCAGTAGGAGAGAAGATAGCGGCTCGCACGTCGATATAGCACGAACTAGCAGTAATACCGCCGAGTTCACGACCAGATGACAGGACATGTCCAAGACTATAGCGGCAAGGCAACAAAGAGTCACAGTATAAGATAGTCCTGTGTATAAGCTCAGGGAATCTCAATGTCTCTCTCTCTCCTTTATACACACACATGCACACGCGCACGCACAAATGCAAGCAGACAGGCGTGTACACAATCATCCACACACGTACAAACACAATTCTGAAAGCACAATGTCTAAACAGAGCAGTTCAATGTCACATGAGAGATGGCCAATGTAGAAGAATGAATCAACGAGTGGAGTGCACAGCACAAACACAAACATCGTCACAAATGCTATATTGGCCGGCGAGAACGCGCTAGCATGACAGATGACGCTGACAGCGCGCACCATCCATCTTATTTGATGCTGTCAGAGCATTGTCAAAGCAATGTGCACAGTTCACGACTGAATGAAGGAGAACTACTAACAGTAAGGGCGTGTGTGTGTGTGTGTGTGCGTGTGTGTGTGCATGTGTGTGGGTGTGGGTGTGTGTGTGTGGGGGGGGGGGGGTGTGCGTGTGGGTGTGTGTGTGTGGGGGGGGGGGGCACACGGGACTCACCCGAATCATTGCACAAGTACGATTGCAGAAGAGGAAGTAGACATGAACCGCGCAGAAGTGCCAGTAACCAGGTGTGATTGAAGAGCTGGCTCACTTTCTCACTGTCCTCCACACCAGTACAATCGAACAGGCTTGCCAGCGTCTGTGGACAAGTCAATCAGAGTCCGAAGTACACACATAATATAGCAAGTTGAGCCTGCACATCCCAAAACTTCCCAATACAAACATGACCCATGCGGAATTCGTGGACATGTACAGCCACTGTTTCAAGTGACAAGATGCCTTGGTTAACAAGGACACCAATCTGAAGTTGGCGACATGAAGCGCAGGGAACCCAGCAAACGCCAAAAAATACAACACAAACACGCCAAATACAACATGTACATGCCCTGAAGAGACAAACTACATGACCATTGTGAAACATGTCTGCCTTAAAGACATCTAATCTATACAGTACCTCCAGTAGCGCAGTGACATGTGATTCTTCCTTCTTCTGCCTGGACACCGCCTGGTTGACATCCCACGTAGAGTGGGTACTACCAGTGCCAAAGCCAGTGCCCTTCGCCCAGTACAGCTTGCCGTCAAAGCTGGTCTTGGACATGCCCGGCGCTCCCACTGGGTCGGCTAACACTGGCACAGCGCCTGCAGGAGCTAGGGCCGCTGCCGCTGTTACCTCTGCGGATGGATTGGCACTCAACACCTCCTTGTCGCTGGCGGCGGCTGATAGCATAGCAGCACTGCTGGACTTGTCGGCATGGCTCAGGTGCGCCAGGCACGCCAGTAAGAAGTGCAGCAGGCCACCGTTGAGCGCCTCGACTCTCAGTGCAAAGCCGCCAGCGTCCAGCGTGATACGCTTGCTCTGCAAGATGCTGACCAGAAGAGCGAACGGCAGCAAGGATAGCGTGGGCAATGAGCACAGCGATCCTGATGATCCCCATGCTAACACGCCTGCGGAAAGAAAGCAGACAGCCAATAGAAAGCAACAGCCATTACTAGAAAGTAGAGGAACCAAAGTAAAAAGAGCAGTCCCTGCACCTGACCTGCACTGGCACTCGTTGAATGCTTCTTCGATGAAAACATTACTTGGTGACACAGGTAGCCACTAGCCACTCAAAGTACACAACAACAAAAAACTTCAAAAAAGTGTCCCTGAGCAGACCTGGATGGGATGGGGTGCCACAAATGCATGATAACTTCAGATAAGCTATTCTGCGGATTGCCAGTGTGCCAGTCCTGATTCAGTGATTGTCAAGATTAGAGGACAGAAACTACCAGTACACAGCCAGACAAATAGACAGACAGAGACCGGAATCAAATGTGTGTGTAACTGTGCATGTTTGCATGTTTGAATATGTGTGTGTGTGTGTGTGTGTGTGTGTGTGTGTGTGTGTGTGTGTGTGTGTGTGTGTGTGTGTGTTCCCCAAAAGAAGTAGCCACAAACGTTATAATATCCACGTAAGCCAGAGATACTATTCAGCACTCACCTTCTGTTGGCACACCGAGTAGCAGTCGAAGCAACGTGGCAGCCTGAGACTGATGTTTCAGCAAGCCTTCTGCATAGTGGGGCAAGCGAAGTAGCAAAGTCAGTGCGGCTAGAGTGTGCGTAGGAAGACGTCCAGTTGACACGGGCCACACGCTGCTGTCGAACGGTGGCAAAACAGGAACATAGTCCGGCAAGTGACGGACAAGGCTAGCAGTGCCGTCATCCTCGCCGCCATCACCACCATTGGCGGACAACGCCAGATCGCAAACATTGGAATACCAGGATGGAATGTAGTCGGCTAAAGTGCGCAGACCGTTGAACTTGGAGAAGAGCTGCAGAAGAAGAAACGACTGCCAGGCTGGCTCTTCAGCTGCTCCAAGTAGACCAGACTCAGAAGAGGCGGCACTGGCACTGGCAGCAGCAGCAGCAATCACTGCTGAAGGAACAACGTCAGCGATGCGGCTGCTACTGCTGCGATCATTCTGGCCAGACAGCGAGTAGAAGAGTTGCACGGTGCGACTTGAAAGCGCTCTTTGACTTGGCGGCTGCAGCTGTGCAACATCTGCCACCGATGCGGATGAGTCGAGCACAGGATCGAGCAGGGCACGTCGAAAGCTGAGAGAAGCCACGAAGGTAGTGGGAGATGATTCCTCGGTGCTCGTTGTCGGACGCTCCGACTTGACGATATTCGACCACTTCACGTCCAAATCCCACATATCCGTCTCATCAATGTAGGGTAGTTCTTCACCGCTATACTTCTTCAAAAACATCTTCCAGCTTGCTGCAGATGCTGCTGATTGACTCTCTGTAGCAGCAGTAGTCGGTGTCGCTGTACCTCCTGTGCTGGAGGCTTTAGATGCCGACGGCAGCTTGGATGGCAGGATGGTTTCGCTGAGCTGAGTCATCGAGCTACAGACAGACACCTCGCGAATGAGCACTCCTCGGCCCACTGGCCAATGTAGCTGGTTACCGACCTGCTGCCGGTGTGCGTCCGAGTTGAAGAGGCCGCTGGACTTGGAGAGCGCCGACAGAGCAACAGGACACAGGACAATCCGCACTTTCTCGCTGTGCAGCAACAGGCCAACCAGCACTTGGCGCATGAATCCAGCATCGGGACGAACGTCCTCCTCGCGCAGAATCACGCAAAGGATCTTGACCAGCTCCTCTGAGTTCTGCAAGTTGCCCAGAGTGACGGCAGAGAAGAACGACAGGGCGGCGGCTTGAAGGTCCTTGCGCTGGCGAGCGCCTCTGCCCATGCCCACGGAGAGCCTGGATCTGCTGCGGGATGGCTTGGCACAGAGAGAACTGAGCAGGCTCCTCCAGAACTGTGCGCGGTCCCCGCCGAGAGCATGCTGCCGAGAGCATGCTGCACTGACGAATGGTCACACAAGCCAGTGAGGAGCGTCAGCAGCTGTGTAACAATGTCAAGGTCGGACTGGTGCCTAGCCTCCTTGGCCAGGAAACTGCCAATCAGAGCAACCACATGGTCCAAGAAGTCGGTTTTCAACAGTAGCTTAGTACACTCGTCGGACTGGGCCATAGCGCAAGCACTCTGGATTGCCGACATGATGGATGCACTAGGCCGCTGCTGCTGCTGGGCTGGTGGTGACGATAGCGCGGTGCTGATGTCGGATAGGACAGTCTTGAACAGCACGGGCCGGATGCAAGTCAGACACCCCAGTGCATTGCGCACAGCCACGCCAAGGGACTTGTCACATGCCATGGCCTTCTCGGAGAATGACAAGAACGCCCTGCACAACACACACGTCAACATATGCACACACATACACAAACACGCATACAGCATTTTATCACAATGAATAACGCTACAAGGCTTTCCAGGTGCAAAGTGCCAATTTAAATACTGTAATTTCACAAATTTTCCGTGCACTTTTATTTTCGGTACTTTCGGTGCGTCTGTTTCACACCTAAAATTTCAATACACCGAACAAACACCAACACACATAATCCAATAGGGAACTGCTTCTCTGTACCGAAAATTTATGTTCACCTAACCTAGCCTGTCGCCCTCACACCGAAAATATTGAGCACCGAAAATTTCTGAAAGTAGAGTACTGTATTCATTGAGACGGGGAAAAGGGCACATAATAGCGAAACGAGATACTGTGATACAGACATAGTTAGCGTATGCATGGTACAGGTGGGGACTACAGTACCATGTACCCCTGTCGCAAGACAAGCATGCAAATCTGCAAATGCACTGGATGTACACCCGAAGACTTTCTCTTATAGTAACGATAGCGGACGAGATCTGAATGACACAGATCCAGACTTGCGCCAAAATAACTGCCCAATCCACACCCCTGGCCAAGCCTTGTGAACCTCCCCCCTCCCCCACCCCCACACACAGTGACACTACATCACACAAACTACTTCATTCACATTCACAGAAGCCATCTACACAAAGCATAGCACGGTGAGTGACAATAGACTTCCATGCCCCCCCCCCCCACACGCACGCACGCACGCACGCACGCACACACGCACACACACACACACACACACACACACACACACACACACACACAACGCACGCACACACCCCCCACAAAAATTGCAGCTAGTGCTACTCACCGGAACAATTCCTCCGTCAGTAATGTGTCAGCAGTAGTTGCAAGAGACTGGTTGGACATTTGAAACAACGAAGCGGCGACGGCTTGTATGCGTAGAGGCAAGCAAGTAGACAACTGACTGAGCTGGGCGGCACTAATGTTGATAGACGAAACACAGCAGAGCCACTCTAGTAGAATGGCCATCCTATAGCACAGAACAAAGGCAACATCAGCAGTGCAATGCCACAGCAGCAGCAGCAGCAGCAGCAGCAGAAGCAATAGAAGTTAGAAGCTGTCTATATTTCATGTACACAACACAGTTCATCAGCACCCCAGACGTACAAGTAAAGACAATCTGTTGGTGGGCAAGACGACAATACACACACACACACACACACACACACACACACACACACACACACACACACACACACACACACACACACACACACACACACACACACACACACACACACACACACACACACACACACACACACACACACACACACACACACACACACACACACACACACACACACACACACACACACACACACACACACACACACACACACACACACACACACACACACACACACACACACACACACACACACACACACACACACACACACACACACACACACACACACACACACACACACACACACACACACACACACACACACACACACACACACACACACACACACACACACACACACACACACACACACACACACACACACACACACACACACACACACACACACACACACACACACACACACACACACACACACAACACACACATTTACCTGGCTTCCAAGTTCTGATCACGGGTACTTCCCACACAGTAGATCAGATGCAATGCAGCTTCCTCGGTCACATAGCCACCACAAGCAAACGAACTCCACATCTGTGTTTGCCCTGGGCCTGCTGCTGCTGCTTGCTGCTGCGAACTTGGCTGGAATGAGGCAGGTGTGGGCGCAGCACAAGCTAACAAAGCTCGTGTCAGACTGGTGCTGAACTTTTCTGACAGACCGGCTAAACTCTTTAGGATCTCTTCCACAAGGCAGTGGCACTCAGAGCTGCGTCAGCATATGTACAATCGTGCACACACACGCACACGCACGCATGCATGCACACACCCACACACGCACGCACACACACACACAAACACAGAAAAACACCCACACACCCACACACACACCGACAGGAGAGCAATAACAGCGTCAGCAAAAAAAAGCAGTGATATCAACACAAACCCAAGTTCTCATCCCGTGTTACAAAAACTAGTATGGACTGGTGAGGACAGCTAACACATCACAGCTGTTCATATTCACACACAAATGGATCTGTCCATGTGCATGTATGTGTAGGAAAGCCACAACGTGTAGGAAAGCCTACATCAGATCAACTCTGTAGGCAACCCACGCTACGAGTATCAAGTACGACCAAGAGTACAGAAATCAGAGTGTGCAGCGCTGTAATTGGGTTCTGGACAACAGGATTCGTCATGTATGCATGCGCAGGTGCACGCACAGGTGTATGCCATGGCCAACCACGGCTGAGACCACACACAACAAGCTGCTGGCTTCTCACTTTCTCGGACTCTGGAAGATTTGCAGGAGAACGCGCAGCAGATCTGGAGAATCCACCAGCTGGTTGAGTGCTGTGGCTGAGCCATCAAGCTTGCTAGTAGAGACGCCCAGTCGGTCACATGCAGTCAGGACACTGCTATAGCTCTGTATGCATATTGCCAGGCAATGAAGCCAAGTCAGCGCCGAAGAGTTGCTGTAGTCGTGCAACACAAAGCATACCAACACACAAAGTAGCGTCAGCATCCTCTGGAAAGCTCAGATCTTCAGAGGAGTCAGGTAAACACACGCACGCACGCACGCACACGCACGCATGCACACACACACACACACACACACACACACACACACACACACACACACACACACACACACACACACACACACACGCGCACGCACTATTCCAAGAAAAATGCTTGTACTCATACAGGGCCTCCACATTCAAACAGTGTAAAGCCACCAAGTGAACTCTTAGCTAGCCCAGGCAAGGCAAACACTCAACAGAAATGTATTGTGCATTGTGCAAGGACAAGGGTTTCAGGAAAGCACTTCTACTGGCCATACACAGCCAACGGCATATGCATACGTGTACTTGCCCCAGGGGAAATGCAAGATAGCCACAAGATGCAGTGCAAAGCAACACCCAGGCCCTACATCAGCGCCAAGATTAATCTTGAGCGCATCGACCGGCGCTGCATCTAATGACTTAAATGTTTACGCCGGAAGAAGCTGGATAACAAACACATGTACTACTGTTGCCACTGAAACTAGTTGGTATATGGCCATCAAGCGTGCTTGATTCCTAGTGTAGTAGTGACTCAGTCACATCTGTTCCAGTGAGCTTTGAGAGCAGACTACGTACACATGGGTCAGGGGCAGGGAGCTGATCAGAGATGTCGTCTTGCCCATCGGCGTGGCGTTGCTGAAACTCAGTGAACAGGAGAACGTTGCTACACCGTAGATACCAATGTGAGTGAGACTCAACGAGTCAGAGTCGACCGGGCGCTTCAGGCGAATGCATACCGACTGTACAGCACAATCAGACAGGACACAGAGCCAAGAGCATAAACACAACAATATAAAATGACTAGTTCCCGAAGCTATGCAACGATGTAACGTGGTAGCGTCTGGTGGGGCCAGGGTCCTAGTCGCTTTATTTTGTGCAGAGATGAGCGGGAGCCATATGCACAGGGTCACCAGAGTGCATGGTGTGTGCAACCGGGTATGGTTGCATGGGGAGCCATGCATGGCAAGCAGGATCCTCCTAGCAAACAGTTAAAACAGTACAGTGACCAGCAACCTCTTTCCCCGCAAAGAAAGTGCTCAACATACAATGCAATCGATGTTATCATGAAATTCTCTACAACTACACTGTTGTAGAGAACTGCATTATAAGCATGATCTATTGCTAGGATGACAGGGTGTGTGTGTGTGTGTGTGTGTGTGTGTGTGTGTGTGCGCGCGCGTGCGTGCGAGATAGAGAGAAAGAGAGAGAGAGAGAGAGAGAGAGAGAGAGAGAGAGAGAGAGAGAGAGAAGAGAGGAGACGAGATGAGAGGAGAGAACACACTGGACAGCACAAGCAATGCTTACCGTTACTATCCTGGGTTCTAGCAACTCCATTCGCGTGGAACCACAGCCACTGGATACCACGCTACAGCCGAGAGGTAGCATGCCACCGGGAGACCTAGCCGCCTCAATTACCACACACGAGGGTGCATCTTCACGCAACGAACAAACACAATGAGGAACACAAAGCCGCACAACACAGTGTATAATTAGTACACGGTGAAGAATGCACCACTGACCACTAGAACTACACTAGAAAACTACACTAGAAAACCACACTAGAAAACTACACTAGAAAACCACACTAGAAAACTACACTAGAAAACCACACTAGAAAACTACACTAGAAAACTACACTAGAAAACCACACTAGAAAACTACACTACAGTGCATTTCAAAACTATAGACGCGTAGGGTTTTTGAAATATTTCAAATTTGGCTGGAACTTTTTGAGAATAGTTTTCGGAATATTGCTCAGGATCGCTCCACAATTACTCTCATATAGTTTCTAAAGGATTGGATAACAGACGCACAATTTGGAAAAATTTATGCACAAAGTGATCACAGATTTTATGTGGTATAGATGCTGGCATAACGGTTTTTGCCTA